GAAAGAAGTTTAAAGACATCATAATGCCAAACAAACCAATATGCATATATTCATAATTGGAAATTTGGACATACGATTCTTACTTAATGATGGATCCTCCTTTCCCTATTATTCCACCACAAGAACCATTGGGCACAACCACTCTGAATTTTGAACGTGGTTCAGCTTCACTGCCATCATCAACAATATACTGACACAAGAAAAAAAACAAATTTTTAAATCAATAGTGAAAAGAGTAGAAGAAATGATTTGAAGGCGATCTATTACCTCATCGAGTAATTTAGAAAGAATAAGGTCAAGTGCCTTGAGTATCTCATCAACCATTCCAGATATCATGACAATCCGATCAGAGGTACCAGGGAAAAATTCATGATTGCGCGATAACTGAATTCTAGCCCCTGAGCGTGATTGGAAATCATTAATTGTAGTGCCACCTTTTCCAATAATAGAACCAGCTTCAGGGTTTGACAGAAGAAACTTGACATAAGTTGGCTTCTCTGTTTCTGGATATCACAAATAGAAGTCCATATCAGAAATATCAACAAAGTTCTAAGCGTGCAGAATAGGCTCATTCTTCAATGATTTAGAGAACTGTACATGTTACCTCTGAGGGGAAGATTAATCATTTTTATTTAGAATAACTGAAGAAAAAGTATCCTCATCTGTGACTCTTCCCTCTATTCAAGATATTCGCTATTTAGAGAGAACTTTTAAGTCATTGCATGAACTTTTTTTTGTTTGTTGAAGGAGCAAGAACTATTCACTAGAAGGGTAACCTTATATAAAAGTCAGGAGGTGCCAAAATTAAGAAACTTTGGTCAGTCTAGTGTACACACACACACACATGCTGGGGATATTCTATAAAAGCAAATGCACAGTTGCACACACACACATATGCTGAGGACATTCCATGAAAGCAAATAATAAATTGTGAAGATCATAATGCAGGAGTTCAAAAGAATCACCGAATGAATAATATAAATATTGGGATACTGTGCATAGAATTAAATAGCAAAAGCAAACTGTAAAACTACAGACTTTGACAAATAGCTCACCTTTAAATCGTGAAAATTTCATATAAACAACAGATACAAACTGCTATTAGGGTTTCAAATGACTGAAAACAATGTACATTGCAGAGAACTCGCGTCTAAGCTAGTAAAAGCTCACATTATCCAGATTCAAAAAGCACAACAAAATCCGGATCTCAAATCCACAGTTCCATAAAAATCAAATACGTCAAATATCAAAATTAGATCCAGAAGTAGAACATTATGTAAAACATAACAACGAGAACATGGAAGCGGGAGTTAGAGGCGAACCATGAGCCGGAAGACGGGGAGAAGGCGGCGGCGATGGTTCGCGAGGCGACGATTCCTCGTGCTGCTCGTCTGCGGCAGATGAGTTGTGGTTTGATTCTGCAGCTTCCGACGCCATTTCGTGTATACGGCTTGGGAGACCGGAGCGAGGATGTGGATCGCGCGCGTTTGTGTGTAGATGAAGCGAGAGAAGTCAAAGCATTGGCATTTGGCAATCTCGAGAAGAAGGGAGATTTGAGAGTGCAGTTAAAAATGAAATACTGTATTGGACAGGAAAAAAAAGTTGATATTTGTAGTTTTTGTACTCCCTTTCTCTCTCATTTAAATCGTTTCTTTAAATTTATGATATTTGATTGGATTATTTTCAAAACATTTATACGAAAAATGCTATATAAATTTTTAATATGAAATAGATAAATAAAGTACGTAATACAATTTGACCTTGTGAATATTAACAAATAGCTGCATCCCACATCTACATAATTTTTTATGGAGTAATTGATAATAATGTCCTCACTAGTTCTATTCAACTTATTTTTATTATTTATTATTTATTAATATTTAAATCAATTCAGATCAGATAAGAAATAGCTTTAAATATAACTACATTCAGATCAAATTGAATTTGTTCCAATTAGATAATAATCATTTAGATCAGATGAAGATAACAAGTCCTAAGGGTGAACATTAGTCCAAAATCGGATCAGGCAAGATCAAAATCAGAAAAACTAGAAAATGGGAATCGAATAAAAGGTAGGAATGGAATTCAGTCCTTAAATTTTCTGGTTTGGGGTGATCCAGACCGGTATTTTTCTAGGTCGGGCCGGTTTTAAACCGGAAAACTCGAAATCTTTTTTGTTTTGTTATCAATTTGGTTTAATGTGTTTTCCAACAATGCAACTTAACTTGAATTTATCTTAACATATCAAGAAATTATATTAACATAAAATATTTTCATCAACAATATGATAAGTTTAAAATTAATTTGTAATTTTGTTAGTTTGTAGAATTTCAAAAAATATTATTATTATATTGTACTTTAAAGTAAGGAGTATTTAAATAAATTACTTGTCACACTATTTAAAACTATAAAAACTTTATAAATAATTCTAGCTTTTATGAATATTATTTCTTAAATGTCAATGATTGTATGTAAGAAATTAAAGAAAATAATTAAATAATACATATTACCTTTAAAAGATTATACGGAGTATTAAAGTAAGAATAAAAAAGGAAAATGCAAAATTATACTCTTGTTGCCAAAACCCTTCCTACTTACTATTCAAGACATCCCAATAACATTTGTTTAATTTGCATGTATTCTTCATTAGTGATTTCATATAAAAAATTATTCTTGTCACTACATGGGGTTTTGCATGTAGTTTTAAATTACACAAGTTTTACTTTTTATTTTTGCACACATTTATAAATAAAATCATTTTTAAAAACATTAAGTTTTGCATGTAAAAACAAAAAAAGGATATAATTTTAAAAACAAAGGGGGTATGTACAATCACACATCATATTTATTAAAAATTATGAAAAGTAGAATAATTACATTTCAATCTTACTAGTCCAACCCGAGAACTATCCAATCTTGGACTGTAATTTTACTAGTCCTGAGTGGCAAATCTTGGATTTCAAAATAAATAATACACCAAGTTTAGACTGGTTCGGGAAATCCCTACTCTAGTACATTGAGCCTCCTCAAGGATTTCTGAATCCACTAAGTTTCGGCCTTTTGGACTCCGTCAAAGCATCGTACTAGTTTGGAAAATAACCCTTGCCAATTGGATCATACTCTGAGGTTTTACAACAGCTATCTCAAACCACTTACTACGAAGATTTCACGGCTATCTTCAATCGTTCCCTGAGGATTTGAAGGCTATCCTCAAATCTTTTACCTAAGGATTTCTTGGGTATCCTTAACCGTCTACACAATTAAGGAGTTATATGGCTATCTTTGACCGTTATAATTGATGAATAATGTGTCTAAAAACATAGAAAAATATTCAACACCTTTTAGCCTATGATAAAGAAAAGAATCAATTCTTGATTGGTGAAGAACAAAGATTATACTCTTTAAAAATACAAGATCAACCTAATGAATATGAGAGTATATACATATAATCACAAGCTCAATGTGTGTGTATAAAAATCAAGAGAAAAAAGACTCTTGAAATAGCCAGAATAATAAGAATGAAGAACAAGAATAAAAACACACTTGAAATATGAAATATGATATTTAGAGCTTGGATTCTTGAAGAAATATGAAAGGTTAAGCCCATATTTGTAGTGGAAAATATTAAGTAGTCGTTGGAGAGTAATTAGGATGGATTCTGACTAATTAAAGGTGCTTAGATTTGAAATTCGGAGTTTGAAAAAGCTCCAACAGAAACAGTATCAAGATATTAGTCTAACGATATCGAGGTACCAGACTGACTGTAGGGGATATCGTGAAGGGCGTTCGCTGGCTACCAGCACATGCCAATTTGCTCTGGCAGAACCTATACTTGGCGGTATCATGGTATCGTCTAGACGGTAGGGCGTACCATTACAACAGTAGTACGATATCGTAACAACTATGAGCAGGGGCGGAGGAGAGGGGGGGGGGCTGCCAGGGCAAGTGCCCCCCCGGCGAATTTCCGGCGAAGTAGTAGTAGTGTAGCCCTTCTCCGATGGTAGGCTTGGTGTGCCCCCCCAAATTTTCAGGCATGCACTGTGGCGGCTGTGCACAGGGAAGAAGAAGAAGAAGCCCGCTACAATTTCCGGAAAAAAAAAAAGAAAGAGTTAAATGACGTCGTAGCTGATAAGTTTTTTTTAAAAAAAATTAAAGGTTTGACCAAATGATGGCTATACCCATTAAGTCATTAACAATTCCTTAGTTTTTTTCGTGCAGCAAAGCAAAAGCAAAAAAAGGCACTGTGACTGTCTTGATCCTTCAAATTGTTTTGCGAGTTTTGATCAAGATCGGCTATTAGAACTTGCTGTATTATATTCAGAAGATTTCAGTTCTTGTGATCGAGTTGAGCTTAATCATGAACTTCAAAATTATATTTCTGACATGAGATCGAATGAAGTTTTTGCTAATATCTCCAATCTTGGAAGTCTTGCAAAGAAGATGGTGGAGATGAATTATCACACTTATTTTCCTTTGGTATATCGGCTTATAGAATTGGAATTGATATTACCTGTTGGGACAGATTCAGTTGAAAGGAGTTTTTCTGCGATGAATATTGTCAAGACGGATTTACGCAACCGTTTGGGAGATGAGATGCTATCAGATTTTCTATTATGCTACTTTGAGAAAGAAATTTTTATGAGCATTGATGATGAAGTTATTTTGCAGCGCTTTCAAAAGTTGGCGTCTCGAAAAAATTTTCTACGGCCTCAAAAAACTCTTACTCATTTGAGCAAATAAAAGGTATGTTTAGTTGCACTTTTCCAAATAAGGTTGTTACTAATATGAAATTTTTTTGTTGTTTTTTAAATAAATTTGTGCCCCCCCCCCAATGAAGTCTTCCCTGGCTCCGCCACTGACTATGAGACCACTGATTTGGTTTTTCCAAAATTTGCTTAATCCTTTCCGTTTGAGTTTAAAATCTTTTGGATAATTGAAAATGATTATGAGATAATTTTAAACATATTTTGTGAGTGAATTTGAGCTCGTGAATATATGTATATAAAATCATATCCTCATATTTGTTTCTACCTATATTTTACGCTAGTAGTGTTTCAACTTTGATTCTTGAGAACCAAATTTTAATGGAATTTTGTTGTACCTGAAACACTTAAAGAAACGTTAGCTCTTATATTGTTTGTTAACATCAAAATACGAGATTTATCAAATCAAGGCTAACAAGCGTATGGAACAACAATGAAGAATTCGTTTGGAAATAATTTTTATGACTAATGTTTATGTCTTGAAGCATATTTTAATGATGTAAATAGACTTTAAAAAGGTTGAATTTAAACACTAAAGTTTGCAATTTTGAAGTTTCAATATACCTACCCATAAATATATCTGGGAGACCAGATCCAAAACAGATATCTAAACTGAAATACCTGAAATCGAACTAGAAATAAACTAAAAACTTAAAACTTGATCTATAGCCGAAAAGGCAAAATGATCTTAGACAATCGGAATCGAACTAATTATATTGAAATTCAAAATCAATTTGAATCAAAATCGATTAAAATCATACCAGTTATTCCCAAGTCACGGGTCATTGGTGATAAATTAATCAAACGAGTTCTAGAAAGAAAAAATGAGCAATACATCTAATCAACATTAATTGTTCTACGATTGTTTGCTAAACATACTTTATTTTTGTATATTGAATCAACTTGCTTATAATTAGGGATAACCTCGACCCATGGTCGCAACCAAAACACAAATGGGTGATTGAACAATGGGGCTAACTTTTCCTAGATAATCCATCTCAAGAATACGCTCCAAAAATTCATAAAGTGATTTTGAATTAAATACCAACTGTGAAAAAATAATATTGCACATTAAAATGGTAATTTGAGAGATAAAATGTTCCAAAAGAAAATAAAAAATTAGGTAAAAATTATACAATTTTAAGGCCTAATATTTTCCTAAACCCGAATTAAAACTGGATAAAAGTATATTAAACTTTGAAAATCAACTAGAAAGTGACGATCTAAACCGATTTAGACCGGGTCTCGGGACACTGCCGTTCTGAACCAAATAACGCATGTCTTAAATCATGCCAATATTTATTCGAATCATTTTATATGTGAACTGATACTATTCGAATAATTCTGTATTGGGATTATTCTAAACCCGAATCAATATGTATCCAAACTGTAAACGAATTAAACCAATAAAATTAGAGAAATGAATTAAATAAGGAATCAAATAGAATTGAATCAATCCAAAATAATTATACAAAGTACTACATAAACAAAATAAACAGGAACTAAAATATATCTAAAGTGGAATCATATCAATTGAATTTGATCGGATTGCGAGGTTTACCCGTAAACTATTGAACATTAACAGCTAGAGTATATTTTTTAAGTCCTATTGACAATACTATAAAGTAATGCTCCCTCCGCCCGGTATTAAAGTTTACGTTTTGACTTTTGGTCATTTTTAAGGGAGGTTGTCTAAAGTAAGTCCTATTGACAATACTATAAAGTAATGCTCCCTCCGCCCGGCATTAAAGTTTACGTTTTGACTTTTGGTCATTTTTAAGAGAGGTTGTCTAACCCTGTGAAATGACCAAAAAAACCTTAATGAAAAAAAGAAGGGAAAGAAAAGAAAGGGGCCCACACGCTGGGAAGTGAAAAAAAGAAATTAAAAGATGATTGGGAGTGGGGAGAAATCACTATTTAAACATAGTGGTCTACATCCAATCAAACACTATACAACAATGATTAAAAACATTCAAATACATTAACATTACACACAAATTTGATTCCCTCCAGTTTTTTTCCCTACCCGCCCAAAAAACCCAAAGTCCACTAAATCCCTCCACTGCTTATATAAAAGCAGTGACTTTCCCCTTTTGGCAACCTTCATTCTTGTTTCATCCTATTCTTCTTCTTCTTCCTTTTCTGACAGTTTCTCTTCTTCTTTTTTCTTTTTCTCTTTCTCACATTCTGGATCCCTGCAAAGACAATGGAAAATCCTCACATGAATTCTAAAAACTTGACAAAACATCAAGGCAGCTTATTAGTGAAGGTTTACTTCGAAATTTAAAACAAAATACAGATGGGTCCTATTCAGCTCAGAGAGGGCAAATCAATAGCCTTGCTACACAGTTTAATGTGTCAAGATAAACAATTAGCAAGATATGGGTCATTGTAAAAAAATAATTGGAGCAGGGGGGTTGCCGTTGATGTGAGAAGCAAAATGGTAGGTCATTGTGGAAGAAAAAGGGCAGTAATGGATGTAAAGGTTATCACAAATACCCTCCTCAGATACCCTCTTCAGGAAGAGGGGTACTATCAAAACATTAGCAACATCAATTGGCAAGCCAAAGTCTACTATCCATGAGTGGATAAAAAGAGTAATGCTTGGGAGTCATACAAATGCTATTAAACCATACCTTATTCTTGATAATAAACTTGCTAGATTGAGATTCTGTTTAGATTAAATAGAACCTTTGAGTATGCCTCACCAACCTATATTCAAGACTTTTCATAATGTATTGCACATTGATGAGAAGTGCTTCTTTATAACCAAAATCTCTAAGAGATTTTACCTTCTTTATGAAGAAGTTGACATCTATAAGACATGCAAATAAAAAAGGTTCATTACAAAAGTCATGTTCTTATGTATGGTTGGTAGACCACTTCTTGATGATAATGGAGTTGTTTTATGGGATGGTAAAGTTTGCATTTTTCATTTTACTGAAATCGTTCAAGCCAAAAGAAAGAGCAAGAATATGGCTAAAGGGGAGTTGGAAGTAAAACCAATCAAGGCAGTTACCAAACAAGTCACAAACGACATGCTTATCAATAAAGTCATTCCAGCTATCCAAGAAAAGTGGCCTAGACATTTATCAAAGAACATTCATATTCAACATGATAATGTTAGGCCACACATTCAAGTTTTGGACTCAGACTTTGTAGCTGCAGGAAACACTAAAGGTTTCCACATTACTCTAGGTAACCAGCCCCCCAACTCCCTAGATTTAAATGTCATTGATCTTGGGTTTTTCAGAGCCATCCAGTCCTTTAAAGAACAGTGTGCTCCAAACACAGTTTAGGAATTGTAAGAGGCAGTTGAAAGAGCTTATAATGCTCTAAACCCAGGAACTTTAAATAAAGTTTGGTTGAGTTATCAACAGGTCATGGCTACAATCATGGAACAAGAAAGAGGAAACAATTATAATCTGCAGCATATGAGAAAAGACAGACTGGAAAGGGCTGGGACACTGCCTAAGTCCCTTCACATAGACCTAGAGCTAGTTGTGAACACAACAAGACTACTTGGAGAAGGAAATGGGAGTACACATGAAGATATGATTCAGTTCAACCCTGAAGAGGAAGATGAATACCTTTCTTGAGAGTTGAATTGAATGAAATGGGAACAACAAAAAGGTTTTTTGGGCAGGGGAAGGGCTTTTGGTTTATGGGATGGTGGCAGGGAGTGTATTACCAAGTGCTTGAAATTTTTTTGTTTTTTATAAGTGCTTGAACATATGTATATATGTACTCAAACAAGGCAACAACACAACCTTCTCTATATGTAATTACAACATCCAGCATACCTTACCTTTGTTTACTTAATACCACATCATCATTGCTGAACTTAATAGATTCACACATACACATAAGTTGCAGGCAAAATGCTCATTTCATAAGTTTTTGTCTTCACTGGAAACTAGGAACACATTTAGGTGCTCAGAAACACCCACACATGGCTAAGTGTTCATCATAGTACATTTTTCCTTTTTCTAGGATATTTCATTACAGTAATTAATGTGTTCATAACTTCTGGAAATACTAACAAATTTTAAGTACTCAGAAAAAGCCCTCAATACTTAAGTGTTCATCACAGTACTTAAAAATTTAGTATTCACAGAAAATAAGAACACAAAATAAGTACTCAGAAACATTTACAATTGGTCAATTGCTCATCACATCACATATTCCTTTCTCAGACCAGGTAGAGTAAATCCAATCATCATAGATTCGGAAAACACCACATTATAATACAATCACATCACCAAAATAGCAACATAGTCATAAATTGCGCATGAACAAGAACTCATCACATAACGAAAGGAATGCAAAGAAAGGATGTAAAAGTACTTCCCTACTTGTACTTCGAAGCCCAAAAATTAGGGTCTGGACTGGGAAGTAAGATGTTTAGCATATCAATGTGGAGGTGCATGCATGAGTAGATCTCGGAAAAATTCTCAATTGGAGTGGTATCAGATCCCTCCGTGCCATCACTATCAGTTTCAAGAACTATGACCTCAACCTCCTTGCTCCCTAGATGAATAACAGAGTCTGTTTTAGAGGTAAGGTCGATTACCTCTTTCGCATTGATCGGGGCGACATCGGCAACGTCCTCGATTTGTCGAGGACGATTACCTCGTCCTCCTCCTTGTTGTCAGAGCTGTAGGCGTAGGCGCCATCTACAAATTGGGTTTCTAGAATGCATGATTCGTAAAGAAAATCATGAAATTTGATTCAAGAGAAGGAGGAAGTGAGAAGATTTATACAGACCTAGATCTACGAAGAAGAGAAGGTCAGATAACGCAGAAGTAAATGGGGAGAGGAAGAGGCGAAGAAGTAATTGAGGAGAGGAAGGACAGATAACACATGAAGTAATTGAGGAGAGGAAGGGGCGGATAAGAAAATGGGGAGTGGAGAGGTGAGAATTATAAAAAGGTTAAGGGTATTTTTGGAAAAAAGAAGGTTTAAAATGAAAATGTAAACTTTATTTTCGGACATAGAAAAAGGAGAAATGTTAAATTTATTTTCAGACAAAGGAAGTATGTTTTTTATTCTATTCTCAATCTAATAATGCAGAAAAGACAATATTTTACCTTCTCAGAGCATCTCCAATGGGTAGTGGAAAAAATGATAGGGTAAACCTTCTTTTACACTATCAACAGTGTTTTACACTTCCACTTTTTTATACTCACTCCAACCATATCTTTTATAAATAATACACTTTTATATTATTTTAATATATATTTCATAGTTTAATTTTTAATCTTTACTAACAAATTTACAAATCTACAAAACAAAATCCATAATTGCATATCAAAAGGAATTTGTAATCGCCGACATCAAAATGAAAAAAAAAAACACAGCCGCATGGCTTGAAATTGCAGGCAATCACAACAAATTTTTTATGCGAATCCAGATCTCCATAGTTGCATAGGAGCAACGGAAGAGAATATTTGGCGATTGGCGAACGGGAAGAGCTCGATTGGCAATTGGCAAAGCAGATAAGATAGCAGCGAACAAGCAGAACTTGATTTCCACTATCTACACTAGCGTGTATATTTGGCATTCGAGAATGGAAAAATACACTCCTTTCTATTTTATACACTACCCGCTGGAGACTTAAATTTTGTACAGTAAATGCTAAACCTTCCATTTTTTAGACTTTACTCATTTTTGCACTATCCCTTGGAGTTGCTCTCATAGAGATTGAACCTGAGTGATCTCTAGCATAAATAGGGTGGAGCCGCAAGGAGAAGAAGTTTACAACCGGAGTACATAAAAAGGAAAATGCTAGGGGTACAGGTGTACCCCATTTGTCTCCCACCTCCTCCATTACCACTCAAATAGGTAAGAAAATTAAAAAAAAAATAAATAAATAAAAATCAAAAATAAATGAGTGATTATGGAGGGGGTGAGGGACAAATGGGATATAACTTTGGTGTACCCCTAGCATCCCCACATAAAAAACATTCTGAAGATGACTTTATTCGAAATGATTTGGTACGTAGTATTTTAATTCATTTATTTGGTAGAAGAAGGAATCACCTCTCTCTCCGCTTTATTACGGAGTTAACTCTAATAAATTCAGACCTTCACTTTCTCCTTCCCTCTCTTCCAGTCGATTTTCCATGGTTCTCCACCTTCTATTTCTTACGTATATCTAATTACCTACGACTTTTATGCTTATAAACAAAGATAAGATTATTATTCCGTGAAATTGATTTAGGGTTTTGAATTTTGATTCACAAACTTCCCAGGTACCCCCTCTTTTTTTTTTGTCGGCATTCATTTCTGCCATCCCAAAACTTGACCTAGATTTTTTCATCTTTTGATTCCTCCGTTTTATTTTTTCATTTCTGCATTTTTGTTTTACTTTTGCCTGAATCTTTTTCGTGTTAATTATCAATTTGTTGGTTTAGTTTGAGGCTAATCTGATCGTCCCAATTTATATTTTGATCAGGTGATGTATACAAAGGGTTATTCGATTGTATTGCAAAATCAAAGATTTTGTTGTAGTTTGGTGAGATTTGATGATGTTAAAATTAAGTTTAGGTTTGCAGTTAGCTGTTATCTTTCCCTTTTATTTCTTTTGTTTCATTTTCTTAATTTGTGAAAAAATTCCGTTATAGCAATGGAGGAATTCGGATTCTTCTGAAATGGTCTTTTTTTCTAGGTTCGTTTAGTCGTAGCGGTGTTCTCTAGATTTTTTACTCTAGGTTTTGGGACAGGCCATTTTAAGAAATGGCAGATGTTCAGCAGCAGCATCAACAGAAGCCTGAGAGCACAGGAGAAGATGCACGTGCTGAATTTGAGAGGGGGCTAGAGGAGTTGATGCGTGGCCATTTGGATCAATGCATGTCATTTGCATCATGCAGTTCAACCACTAGAACCACAGAGGATGGGGACGATGAGAGTGAGCAGCTTGTGAGGAGGAGGAGGAGATCTGACTTAGAAGGAGACGATCTAGCAGAGTCATCCGCAGCCAGAAGGCGCCACTCTCGGATTTTAAGCCGATGGGCTGCCAGGCAAGCACAGGAGATGATCACAACAATGGAAAGGCGGAATCGTGAGTCAGAATTGATGGCACTTGCTGGTTTGCACACGGTTTCCATGCTCGATTCATCATTCTTAAGAGAATCACAGTCTCCCACAGCAAGACACCGAGCTGATGACGAGAGAATAAGCAGCCAGGCATCAAGCATACTACGGATGTGGCGGGAATTGGAGGATGAACATGTGTTGGACCATTCCCGAGATAGGGTCAGGGGAAGAAGACTAACACAGCCAAGGAGTGTGAATTCTTCGAATACAACTGTCTCTAGTATGAACATGTCAGAAGGACGAGAGAGCCGTATTAATCAAGGCAGTTTGGGGGATGCGAGTGAGAGTGAGAACGATTATGGAAATTGGTCTCGTAATGGTATCAGACAGCAAAATGAAAGTGTGGGGATTGACAGTTCTAGCCGGGAACAATCTCCTGATATAGGTGATGTCGAGAGAGAGAGAGTGAGGCAAATTGTTCGTGGCTGGATGGAAAGTGGTATTACTGACCCATCATCTAATGTTGCCCAGAGGAGTGCTAGTGTTCCAAGAGGGGAATGGCTTGGGGAGACTGAGCGTGAAAGAGTTAGGATTGTGAGGGAGTGGGTACAAATGACCAGTCAGCAGAGAGGTTCACGTAGTAGGGAAGAACAACAGAACGGAGTTAGTGCTCAAGTTGATCGGGTTGTTCGTGAGGGGTCTGTTGTTGACCATGATGAAGGTCACCCTGAGAATACTCGAAGGGACATGTTGAGACTTCGGGGAAGACAGGCTCTAATTGATTTGCTTGTGAGGATTGAAAGGGAAAGACAGAGGGAATTACAAGGACTGCTGGAGCACCGTGCTGTTTCAGATTTTGCTCACCGCAATCGGATTCAGGTTAGTAATAACTGACTATCGTTTAATCCATAATGTTTATGCTCTCATCTAGTTAGTTGTCTTTTCTGTACGTCACGTGACCTTTGGCTCCATTTGTTCTGATTGAGATCGGTTTCTTGTTGAAATTATAATTACACTTGAAAGCCCGTTTGGTATATGTCTACTCTGCCTACAACCAGAATGTGTAGCTTAAGCAATCATTATCATACTGATTTGGCTGAAATCAAATTTCCAAATGCTTTTTACAAAATTCAGTAGGCAATTTCAACCAAATAACCCTTTCCGAACGGGCTCTAAGCATTTTCTTTACAAAATACTTTTCCATTTAGAAAATTCCGCAGGATATTTCATACGTTCAGCCTAATAACCCTTACCCAATGGGCTCAAGTGTCTATTTCTTTCTTGAGTTTGTAAATCATACGGAGTATATTGGATGTTGATTCTGGTAATGGAGATTTTAGCAATCCAACCTTCTTGAGAAAGAATTGTAAATTTCGACCAAAAAAAGTCTTTTAAATCTATATATGTATGTTAATTGTTTTCCAGTCATTACTCAGAGGAAGGTTCCTGCGGAACGAAAGGCCTGCGGAGGAGGAGAGACAACCATCACTTGCAGCAAGTGAACTAGTTCAGCTAAGGCAACGCCACACTGTTTCTGGAGTAAGGTATTTGGCATGGTAATTTATGCATGTCTCAAATGCTGGCTGTATTTGGCATATTTGTTTTTTGCTTGTTGAAACTTGTGCTCAAATACTGGTTTTGCCTGATTCTGATTATTAGCCCTTCTCATTGATGGTTGCAATAAAATGAATGTTCCAATTACAGTGTTACCCTATATCTTTTTTTAAATACCACAACAACAAACCATGTATAGTTCCAAGTCCGTTGGGATCACAAAAAAACAAGCTTTTTAAATTTAAAAGCTGAAGAGTAAGAGATATTTTCTTTTACATTCCCCAAATATGATAATTACTGAATGTAGCACCCCGAGGGTCTGTTTGGATAATTGAGTGCAATTACACGGCTGTGTAATTACATGGGTAGTAATTACACAGGGTGTTTGATAGTCACAATGTAATTACTCTATTTGTGTTTGGTTATAGAAGAGTGTAATTGAATCTATTTAATTAATAGGAGTGTAATTGGTGTAATTACAGCAATTTCGATGTCTCCCCTTGAAATTGGGAAGTATAATTGCAAACCTTCAATTACACCAATTACATGCTCATTTTGTAATTATGTGGTCAACCAAACAAGTCACAATTACATCAAATCCCAATTACACACCTCTTTTCCAAATAGCCTCTAACGAAACTCACAAGTTCAACAAGATTTATTTCAGTATAGGATGTATTCTGTCTTGCACAAGAACTCATTTTCTGGGTGTTTTCTAGCAGGGATGGATTCCGCTCCAGAATAGAAAACTTAGTCCATGGTCAAGTAAGCAGCCACTTTAACTCTTCTTCTCACAATACCACCAACAATGTCTATAAATAATCACCCAAATCATTCACAGGAGGTTCAAAGTGAACAACCACAGTTTAGAGACCGTGAAGACTACACTCATCATCAGCTACATGAACCCAGAGAAAGTTTTGATGTTAGGCCAGCTGACCGAAGTCCAAGTCAAGTTGCTGAATTAGAGGGAGGAAGTCAAGGGGATTCAAATTATTATGAATCTGACAATGTGTGGGCTAGTGGGGCTGCTGAAAACACTACTAGAAACTGGCAGGGAGATTCGGTTACTCGTCCCTATGAAACTGAAGGGGATGCAATTAGAGATGAACAAACCATGCTTGAAAACAGAGAAGTTTGGCGCGAGGATGGCTCACGGATATCAATGGACAATTGGTCGGTGGGAACTTCTGATCCTCCAAGAATTTGGCGCTCTGTTCCATTTAGGAGATATAATAGATTCCACCCCCCTGAGGATGATAATGTGTACAGTATGGAACTCCGAGAGCTTCTAAGCAGGTAAAGATAATATTTCAATTTCCAAGATCAGTTTTTTGTATCTATGATTCTAATGTTGAGTCATATTCCGAAAACTTTTTTTTTGTCCTATAAATGAGCACTGTTTTAAAATTCAACTTTAATTTGCTAGAGAATTTTTTGTTAAGCCAAGTGGCAAGCAGTTTTAGTCTATTTCTCCAAACAGTATTGGAAGTAAGTTTTAGGGGTATAAGTGTAACCGTTCGTCCATAGATTAAAAGCTTGTACCTTAGATTGAGTATTTGAATTGACTAAAAATAAAATGTTATATCTGTCCCCTAGATTAATATTATTTTTTTGGCTGGAGGGAGCATTATCTTGCATATTGTATTTTGTTTTTAAAATTTCTGTTAACTGCAGGAGGAGTGTTTCAAATCTTCTCCGAAGTGGATTCCGAGAGAGTTTGGATCAATTAATTCAATCTTATGTAGAGAGACAAAGTCATGCACCCATTGAATGGGATCTGCATAGGAACTTGCCTATCCCCCCTTCTTCAGACAGGGATGAGGACCAACAACAGCATGATGATGTGCATAATATTGTAGATCAAAATGATGGTATTGTTAGACCTTCACTTGTACTACCATCTCCTCCCGTGCCTCCGCCACAACCGCTTTGGCAGGATTTGCATCCCCCTGGCTGGTCTCGGCATACTGTCCATCGCTCTGAACTTGTAAGAACCTCCTCCTCCCCCACCAAATTCACAGTTCACACGCACACACCCACTCACACACCTTTGAGGTTCTCAGTTCTCTTTTCTTTTCCTTCTTTAGTGCAAATCTAGTACAACCCTCAAGCACTGCAATCTCAGATAACTTTGCGACATGGGCTTCTGTCTAGAGCCTTTATCTTGGGTCCCAAACATTTAATTTCTACATATACTTCGTATTTTAATAGTATGTCCATTTTATATTGGCCCTATCCAGTTTATATTAGACTCACTCTACATTGCATAACGAGTTACTATAACCTTTTTTTATTTTAGATGATTTTACATCTAGGAAAGCTCATTTACTGGCATTGCTATAACTTCAATGAAGATTTATGAAGTGCACAATTTTTTATCTAAATTGTATAATACTCCGTATCTATTTTAGTTTGCCTTGTCATTGGAGGTAATGCTCATTGCCCATCTTCCTAATTATTTCGATAAATTTGGAGTTTAAATAAAATGCCTACCTGCCAAAACTCACACCCATAGAATTGTGGGATTTTTTTCACTTCGGTGACTTTTCTAAAAAAAAGAAGAGATAATTCAATAAGAAGTTTATTTGGGAGCTTATCTTCATTATTGGTCTCTTGGATCTAAAGGAAGATTGAGACAGGACTGTCAGCTACTAGTCTAGTACTACCTATATCCACACATTTCCCTGTGCTTTGAAACAATGAGCCTATCAATATGTGCATTCTTTTTGTGGATGAGCACAGGAGTGGGAGACCATAAATGACCTGAGAGCAGACATGTCAAAATTACAGCAAGGTATGAACCACATGCAAAGGATGTTGGAAGCCTGCATGGATATGCAACTTGAGTTGCAGCGTTCTGTCCGCCAAGAAGTTTCTGCAGCATTGAATCGTTCAGCTGGAAGCTCAGGTTTGTCCCCCCCACCCACCCCGGTTTTTGCATGTTATTTGTACTCAACTGGTTCATTTTCTTTTACTTTGCATCCCAGAGTGGGTGCAAAGTCAATGATTCAAATATTATAGTAAATCGTGTGATGCGAAGTCTATGAATGGAGCGCAAAGTCTAATAAGAATGACTCACTCTGCGGGCACTCTGCGCGTCTGCGGTGCAATGTCAAAAAAATAAAGTATGAGATGCAACGTCTTCGTCTGAGGACAAAATTGGTTCCAAATTGCATAGTTGAGAGCCAATTTGAGTCTGACAACAACATTAGCCTTAAAGAATAGACAAATATACTCTTCTTATTCAGAAGGAAACATGCATTAGGATTAAAATAGATACAACATTAACCTTAAAAAATAGACAAATATACTGTTCTTATTCAGAAGGAAGCATGCATTAGGATTAAAATAGATCCAAAATTTATAACTGAGGGCCAAGTTGAGTAATATTGTTTCTTTTGTAAATCCTCCCACCATACTACATGTTTCAAATGAGTTTTGCTGAGACATATGTTCGCAGGGGCTGCAGAGAGCTCGGTAGATGGGTCAAAGTGGGGACATGTGAGAAAGGGAACCTGCTGTGTTTGCTGTGATAGCCAAATCGATTCCCTCCTCTACAGGTAGGTAACTTCTTACTAATAACACAAAACAAAGCGAAATAGACGCAGGGCGGAATTGTGATTGGTCATGTGATTTGCAGATGCGGGCACATGTGTACTTGCTCAAAATGTGCAAATGAATTGGTGCGGACCGGGGGGAAGTGTCCGTTGTGTCGTGCACCCATTGTTGAGGTGATCCGAGCTTACTCTATACTCTAGAGAGTTATGACTGAAAAAAATCACAAGATATATACATGTATAATTTACCAAATTGATCATAAGAATAGTAAGAGACTTTAGGGGGAGTGAGGATGGGGTCAGTGTTATCCNAAATAGACGCAGGGCGGAATTGTGATTGGTCATGTGATTTGCAGATGCGGGCACATGTGTACTTGCTCAAAATGTGCAAATGAATTGGTGCGGACCGGGGGGAAGTGTCCGTTGTGTCGTGCACCCATTGTTGAGGTGATCCGAGCTTACTCTATACTCTAGAGAGTTATGACTGAAAAAAATCACAAGATATATACATGTATAATTTACCAAATTGATCATAAGAATAGTAAGAGACTTTAGGGGGAGTGAGGATGGGGTCAGTGTTATCCCACTGCTCCTTAGAATGTAGGACTATTTTCTCCCCCAATATGCTCTTCTGACCATTTGCAGAACGCTTTGCAGTTGTAAAGTTAGATAAACAAACGGCTCCTTTTTTCTTCGTGTATAATTTGTTCGTAAATAAAAAAAGATCAATTCTTTTTCATTATTTGAAATCTGTTTATGGTGTTATTCCTGCTGTTTTGGTACCAGTCTGCCCATGTTCTTCCATATCAAATGAGAACTTGTTTAAGATTTGGAGTAAAACATGGAACAGTAGCCAAGTGAATGCACCAAACTTTAGGGGGAGGGGGAGGATACTTGGGCCATCATTTCATCTTTGATAGCAGTAGCCAAGTGATCATAGGCTTCACCCCAGGCTTCATTCATTTCTTCATTCCATCTCTCCCCCATTGCCTCTTTCACTGTTTGCAGTAGAGCTTCTTTTACTACCTACAATCACCATCAACACTATCTCATCATCCTCACTGTGTGTGTGTATTGTGTGTTTGTCACCATATTTTGCTTGTGACTTGGTATCTTAGTTGTGCACTAGGAATTAAGCACAACAAACGAGATGAGAAAATTGTTTTTTTATAAATAAGAATTAATTAAAATGCGAGTCAAAAGTGAAAAAATCCATAAGGGGAATAAGATATTTCAGGTATTTTAGAAAGTGAAAAATATACCTCAAAGTGAGGGGAAGTGACTCCCTTTTGAAGATGAATATCTCCCAAAAATTTGAGGGTGGTTCTTCCAACCAAAACTTCACCTTTCTCCTTCAGCTGAATCGCAGAGTCACAAGTCTGTAAACCAATCAATATAAATAGATGGGCAATCAATACTCAGTACGTAATTTAGACCGCAATATATATTGTATAGTCAATTATACGGTATTTCTTGTATATCCATGGTGAATACTCATTTATGAGTAACTGCATACTCAATTTTGAGCTATTGAATATTCATCTTCAATACTTATTTTTCTAAAATTTAGGTATACTAAAAATTAGTTCTGTTACTCGAAAATGAGTATTCAACTGGATGTATGAGAAACATCGTACATCCGGATGTATGGTATGTGTACTCAATTTAAATTGTATCGGAAATAGTATACTCCGTACTTTATAAAAGCTCTTAGCCTGTGTTCCATCCGCATGGTCCGATTAAATTTGATCTAATTTTTTGAAGATCTGATCTGATTTGATCTGATTTGGTTGTAGTTATATTTAAAACTGTTTCTAATCTGACCTGATTTTAATAAGAATAAATAATAAGATGAAAAATCAAGTTGTACGGAACGGAGCCTTAGGACGGGCAATATCAAAACTCTTTCTTATTTTAATTGATAAATAACAAAAAATTGCTGCTGGGTACCCCTTATTTTGTACTAAGAACTCGCAGGTCCCATTGTTTTTCAAAATATACTCCGAGGTACCTTAAGATATTTGAAAACTGACTCCGGGGTGACAATCTGTCATTCTCTCCGTTAATATTCCTTCTCCGTTATCCTCTTCTTCTTCTTCTTCTTTTTTTCTTCTTTTCTTCTTCTTCTTCTTTTTTTCTTTTCTTCTTTTCTTCGTTTCTTCTTCTTCTTCTTTTCTTCTTCTTTTTCTTTTCTTCTTTTCTTCTTCTTTCTCCTGCCTTCCAGTGTGACCTCCATTCCTCCCCCCACCCCGTTTTTTTTCTTTTACCTTTTGTTTTGTTTTTTTCTTCTTCTTCTATTTGTTATTTTATTATTTTTTATTATTATAATAATTATTTATTATTATTATTTTATTTAATTAGTATTTTTACTACTCTAAATTTTTTTATTAGTTTTACTACTCTAAAGCTTTAATTGAAAATTAATTTTAGTAATATATTTACGTATCATTTATAAAATTTAAATTATTTATTCACTTGGTTATAAATTATACGTCGTAATTCATAATAATATTAAATTTAACATTATTTTTATTGTTTCATATTATCTTTACAAAAATCCAGAGGTACTTATTCATCTTATTCTTTTCTCAAGTCCTCTTGTTTTCTCGATTTACCGTGACACCACTACCAATGGCGACTATCAATGACTAATGTGGAGTACTATTTTTCTAAATAATAATGATTGTTACTCCGTATTTCTTAAAAATAGAGTAATAAAATTACTACTCTGCAATTAATTTTTAATAATAATTAAGAAAACAATAGGAAATACATAATATTATCTCTGTCTCGGAGCATATGTTAGGTTTTGTCTTTTTTCAATCAATTGTTTTTAATTTTTGACCTATAATTAAATAAAACATATATTGTACTCCTATTAATTCGATAAAGTAATATTTTGAAAATATTTTATATATTAAATCTAATAAAACTATTTTTGTATAAATATTTAATATTATTTTTTTAATTTAGGCTCAAATTTTATCAATTTTGACCGAAAAAACAAAAGTAGACAAATACTCTAGAACAAAGGAGTAATTAATATGAAGTAATAATAATAACTAGTGGTATTTTTATAAAAAAGTACAGAAGTAAAATTACTAATTAATTGCTTAAAATAAATAATAGTATTAATAATAAGTGTTATTTTATAATAAGTGCTATTTTTCTAAATAACAATTAGTGTTTTTATAGAAAAGAGTGGTAAAACTAACAATTAAATTTTAATAATAATAGTAATAATAATAAATTAAAAAATTAATAATAATAATAGAATAAGAAAATAATAATTATGAAGTAATTATAATAATTAATAACAAATAATAATAATTATAATAGAAGAAGAAGAAAAAAACAAAACAAAAGGTAAAAGAAGAAAAAAAACGGGGGTGGGGGGGGGAGGAATGGAGGTTACTGGAAGGCAGGAGAAAGAAGAAGAAAAGAAGAAGAAGAAAAGAAGAAAAGAAGAAGAAGAAGAAGGAGAAGAAGAAGAAAAGAAGAAAAGAAGAAAAAAAGAAGAAGAAGAAGAAGAGGATAGCAGAGAAGGAATATTAACGGAGAGAATGACGGATTGTCACCCCGGAGTCAGTTTTCGAATATCTTAAGGTACTTCGGAGTATATTTTGAAAAACAATGGGACCTGCGAGTTCTTAGTACAAAATTAGGGGTACCCAGCAGCAATTTTTTGGATGAATAATCATTCAGACAAGACTAAAAAGTAAGAATATTAATTGTATTGAACACAATAAACAAGTACACATTTAGAGTTTGTCAAGTTTGATTAAAAAAGTCCAATTGTAAAGATTTGTTTTAAGGACGAAGAAAGTAATACTTAGAGTGTATTGCACTAATACCTCTGTGGTGTAGTAAATATGCACATTTGCCCATCTACTTTCAAAACTTAATTTCTCCTCTTAGTTTTGAAACCTGACATCAATATCATTCCCCTCAGTCTAATAAAATTGGATATTTAAATAGTCTATGACAAACACGTACCACACGCGAGTCAAAATATTTTCTTTTCATGTTTTTGAATTAATTGGATGCAAAGTGATGCTTTTTTATCTTTCCTCATATATTTGACTGAGCATTTCTTAAAAACTTACATCCGTGGAAGAGAAAATAAAAAAGAGATTGAAAATTTTGTGAAAGCTATAGTGACTATTGCTGACAAAACAATTAATTTTCAATTCAGTCTATATGAAAAAGGGGTTAAAATACAAGACATGAGGGGTATATTTGTTAAAAATAAGTTAATTTGTTAAAAAATTGTTTTAAGTCATCTTAGAGGAGCATTGGTGTAAGATTTCAAAACCAAAAAGGGTGTTGTTGATTTTAACATCAACAATTATTTTACGTGATTGGATTTACTTAGATCAGAAGTACATAGAGCAAACTCGTTCAACGATATTATAAACTTCATAATAGGGTCTAAGGGTGGCAACCCCTGGTAGCGGCGTCGAGGCATTACCGTTTGGAAAAATGACTCAAACATTGAATGTTACTTTTATATATTCGACTCTTAGCCATTATCCGCATGCACCCTGACACAAACATCTCAATGTCTACTCAAAACTTTCGAAGGTCATAATGTGTACTTGGTTGTGTTTTTTCACCAGCACACATGATCAATATTTTCTCTGTATCTATAGAGACCTATGGTATGTTTGAGACAATCGCTATACTTGTTCTAGACACTATCTTATCCAATTGAATTATTCTAGTATATCCCAAACTTTAATTTGAAAGCGTATTTCACGCGATTCGTTGAGTCTATCAAGTCATTTCACGTTTTTTCCTATAGCGCTCATATCCAATGCTGCTACACAGTGATGCTATCAAATTAATAAAGACGATTATAAGTACCTCTGAACTACTCTTAAAAAAAGGAAATATATATGCCTCCACTGAAAAATTTAAAAATATTCCCTCCTCACAAAGTTTAAAATTGTTTATTTAATTATTTATAAATTATATAAAGTAATTTAGAATATTGAAGAAATACTCATTGTAATAGAGTTAATAGTATTAAAAAAGAATATTAGTCAATTAATAATACCTAAGTCATGTTTTCCTCAACTTATTTTTTTATGTATTACTTATTCTTATTGGAATTATATCAAATCAGACTAAATCAGAAACAGGTTTAAATATAACTACATTTAGATCAGCTAAAACCAGATCAGATCAAAACTTATTCCAATCAGATTAGAATGAATTAGATCAGGTAAAGAGAACATGACCTTATTTGCCTTCATCCCGCCCAACCCTTCCCTCTGGTTCCCCAAGCCAATTTTCATTTTTTCTAGATCCGTTGTTGTTGGTTTGTTACATAAGAACGTATGAACAAATAAAACATATAATAGTGCTAAAATAAGAGTGTTAGTATTACAGTGCTCTTATTAACATTTTTAGTTCGATTTCACCGAATTCTAAAAAATATTGAAAAGCTAAAAAAAATAAGCGGTTAAACTTTATTTAGAGTCCAAAGACACTTTGTTAATCATATATTTATTTCTTTAAAAAATGTCTGTAATTCTCTAGGAGAAAAAAAATAAAATACCTAGTATAAATTTTGTTAATTTGGAGGTGTCTATTTATTAAGGCATCACTAATGGAGAAGAATGAAAAGAAAAATAGGATGATGTTGAAAGGGAAAAGAAGAGTAGAATGATTAGGAAAGGGGAGGGGAATATACGGAGTAGGAGATAGTTTTGAATGTGATGCCACTAGGGGTGTACACCGGTTCAGAACTGGACCGGACCGGACTGGAACCGGAAAAACCGGAAACCCGGAATCCCCTAAAGCATAGGACCGGAAACCGGACCGGTTAGATTCCGGTCCGGATCGGTCCGGACCGGTTTTTTCCGGTCCAGTCCGGGTAAAAACCGGAAAACCCGGAATTTATTTTTTCTATTTCTTTTTGTCTATTTTTTAAACTTGTTTTTCAAATTTGTAACTTGATTTGAATTGATTTCAACCCTACATTTAATTTTTATATAAATTGGGTGTGTTTCAAGAAATTATATTAATATAACATATTTTTATCAACAATATGATATGTGTAAAATTATTTTTATACTTCCGTTAGTTTTGAAATTTCAAAAATATTATAAAGTTTTACTTTAAATTACTTTGGTTTTAGAAAGTCTAATTTATACGTCAAAGTATTTAATACTTTAAATCGAAAGATTCTACTTCACTTTTTGGGAAATAAATTTAGTTTTTTTATAAATATGGATATTCTTGGGTAAAGGTCAATGAAATGAATTAAAAAATACAAATTACATTTAAAAAATTATACTTCATATTAAACTAAGAAGAACAAATGAAAATATACAATTGTATTTATAATTATGGATATTCTTAGGTATTATTTTTTTTAAAAAAAGTAGACAATCCGCTCTTACCGGTCCGATCCGGAAACGATCCGGTCTTGGACTGAAATGGACCGGAATTTTACCGGTCCAAAATATTTAGACCAGAGACCGGTCCGAAATTTTACCGGTCTAGCCCGGAACCGGTTTTTCCGGTCCGGTCCGGTTTTCCGGTCCAACCCAGATTTTGTACACCCCTAGATGCCACATATAGCTAGTAATGATGGAAGATTTTTGGATTTTACTATATGAATGTGCATGACACGTCTCCAAAAATTTCATGGCTTCTCAACACGTCTCTAGCTTAATTGAATGTCTATTTTATTGAATGTTTTTTTAAGTGGACGTAATAAGAACAAGAAATTGCTGCCAGGTATTTTGTATTTTGTGGTAAGAATTGACAGTTACCCCTAATTTTTAAAATATACTCTCAGGTACCCCAAATTATAAAAAAATATACCAAGAAGTCCATCCATTTTCCATCCATCCCTCCTTTCTCTGTTAAGTGTACCACCATCATCATCATTCATCATCATCATCAATCATCATCCCATCTTCTTCGTACATCCCCCTCTTCTTTTTTTTTTTATTTTTCTTCTTCTTCTTCTTTTTCTTTTTCTTTCTTCTTCTTTCTTCTTTCTTCTTCTCCTCCTCCTCCCCCCTTTCAACTTTCGATCTTCCAGACCCCGCCCCCACCACTCACCCTTATTTCTTCTTCTTTTCCTTCTATTATTATTATTATTATTATTATTATTATTATTATTATTATTGTTGTTGTTGTTATTGTTGTTGTTATTATTATTATTATTATTATTATTATTATTATTATTATTATTATTATTATTATTATTTAGTTGTTGGGCAAGATTCCCATGACATTGCCCGGCCCGCCTAACACCCCGGTAAACCCCCCCCCCCACCCTGCCCCGACTCGAACACACACCCCCCACCCCCTTCAATTGTACCCCACAAATTGATTTTGACTTTGGAGTCAAATTTTGACGTCAAAGTCAAAATCAATTTGTGGGGTGCAATTGAAGGGGGTGGAGGGGTGTTCGGGTCGGGGCGGGGTGGGGGGTTTACCGAAGGGGGTTACAACGGGGTAGTAATGTTTTGTTTTTCTACTATATTTTTAACAAAAAAAACACTAAAGCTCCCACCAAAAAATTGTATACTCCATTAATCTTTCACGATCTCCATTAATGTAAAAAAACAAAAAATTACTGTTTGGAACCCCTAATTTTGTACTTAGAACTGACGGGCACCTTCATTTTTATAGTGAAACTATTAATTAATTTTTAATAATAATAATAATGAATAATAATAATAGAAGAAGAAGAAAATATTACTTAATAATAATAATAATAATAATAATAATAATAATAACAATAATAATAATAATAATAATAAATAGTAGAGGTAGAAGAAAATTATACTTCGTAATAAATAATAATAATTAGTTTTAATATTTAAAAATTATTAATATTAGTTTTTAATATTAATAATAATAACTTAGAAGAAGAAAATAATACTTTGTAATAAATAATAATAATACGTAGTAATAATATAATAAAAATGATGGTTTTGTTGTTAACAAAAAATTATTAATATTAATTTTTAATATTAACAATAATAATTTAGAAGAAGAAAATAATACTTTGTAATAAATAATAATAATAATACGTAGTAATAATATAATAAGAATGATGGTTTTTTGTTAACAAAAAATAATAAGAATGAGGGTACAATTTTTTGGTGGGAGCTTTAGTGTTTTTTTGTTAAAAATATAGTAGTAAACGGAGAAAGGAGAAAGTAGAAAGGAGGGATGGATGGAGATGATGATGATTGATGATGATGATGATGATGGATGATGATGGAAAATCACCTCTTGGTATATTTTTTATAATTTGGTATATTTTTTATAATTTGGGATACCTGAGAGTATATTTTAAAAATTAGGAGTATCTGGCAGTTCTTACCACAAAATAGAGGTACCTGTCAGCAATTTTTTGTAATGAGAATATAAGATCCACATTCACTATTTCGGTGAATCTTATCTTATCAAAAGTTTTTTTTAGCGAAAACAAAATATTCTATCATAAATACTCCATCCTAGATTGGATTACAATTTCTCATTTACGAGACAAAATTTCTCATTTTTCGAAATCAATTTATTTAATAATTGGTATAAAGTATTCACATAATTAATAAAATTTACATGTTAATAAAAACTTGCGTCGAAAATTCTATAAAATGAGAAGTGACAAGAATATTTTATTTTATCAAATAATCAATGTTTTTTCATTGAGACAAAGAAAATATTCCGTATATGTTTACTAAATTCATCTATAAATCCACAGAAAATATTGGGGACCTTATGTTTACTCACCCCAGTTCCCATGAGAGGACCCCGAGGCCGTACGATACTTCATTCCTAAAATTGATGAGTCCTATTACCTCTGAACGGAATGAGAGTTTACCGCGGTACTAATAAGAGGGATAGAAACTGTCAATTTTACAAACAAAACATCGTTCGTACGACCTCGTGGGCGGTTCAAGCAATGTCCCAGACGGGCGATCGACTGATAGAAATTCTGAGCTGAGATGATACATCCACCATGACTAAAATAGATAAGACGGGCAATGGATGGAGTGATAGAAATTAACGTTGACTCACCAATTTGAAGACAATGAGAGCATGGGATTTGATGAGCTTATTATTGGGATTGTTCCCAGCAGCTGTAATAGCATCTTCTTCCCCCTCCTCCTCCGCCTCGTCGTCATCACCGTCAGTACTGTTCATCTTCAGGAAAGAGAACATGTTCCTGGCCTCTGGAGCTTTCTCTACGATTCTGTGTTTTTATTCATATAAAATTATTTGTCATATCAAAATATCATGTTTTTTCAATTCATTTTATTTACATATTGGTAAAGAAATAAAAAATAAATATTACATATCAAAAAACTACATGAAAAGTTCTTCGAAATAAGAGGTGTCAAGAATATTTTATTTTATCAAATAACTAATGAAAACGTAGAAATAAACAAAAATTCCCGCGACTATTGAGAAAGCAAATGTGACAAATAATTTGGGGGAGTATAAAATAGTTGGGGTACACCAAAAGTGTACTCCAAACATTCCCCACCCCCTCCATCACCATACAAAAAAAGGTAAGAAAATTTCAAAAAAAAGTAAAAAATAAAAAAAATAAAATGAATGGTGTAGAGGCAAGTGGTGTACATTTGGGGTACACCTTAGGTGTACCCCTAGCATATCCCAAAATAGTTTTATGATAAGAGGAAGAAGGAAATCAAAAAGCGGTGAAACTGACAGAGTGAAGAAACGAAGGCTAAGCTGAGACATGTTTGGCTTCATCACTTTTTCCCATGAGTCTTTCACAAGGGCCTCTTGCTTCTCTGTGAACAGTGCCATCGATCGCCCAATATCCTCTCACTACTCTTTTTCTGCCTCTTCCACCTCTTTATATTTAAAAGAAATTTGCTCCCCATATTTTTTTTAAATTTGGCCCTTGTTATATAAATACTTCCTCCTACCTAGAAGAAGTGTCTAGTTTAATTGGACAATATTTCATACTACCTCCGTCCCTGTACTTGTTTAGCTTTAACATTTTTCGGCCAATCATTTTTAATTTTTGACTTATAATTAAATAAAATATGTATTGTATAGTAATTAGATAAAATAATATTTTAGAAATATTTGATCTACTAAATCTAATAAAACAATTTTTGTATCAATATCTAATATCATTTTTATTTAATTTGAGGTCAAAGTTTACTACTCCGTAATTTTATTCAAAAAAAATTAATAGCGGACAAATACTCAAAGACGGGGGAGTATATCTCTAAATTTTACTTTTGGGCTCTTTAATACTACTTCCGTCCCTCCCTAAATAGATTGCAATTTTTTCTCTCTCTCTCTTCTCGATAACTTTTGTTTGTTTACGTGATTTCATTGAGTATTTGATAAAATAAAATATTCTTGTCACTTCTTGTTTTGTAGAACTTTTAACGTAGTTTTTTAATATGTAATTTTTATATCTTATTGATATACAAACTTGTAAATAAAATGATTTCAAAAAGTAAGAAATTTTACTCCGTAACCCGCAATTTGTAATCAAATTGGGGACGGAGGGAGTATGGTCCCTCCGTCTCTAAAAACCTTTCTCCTCTCTTTTTTCATCCGTCCCAAAAACCACTTCTCATTTCTATTAAAAAGTCACTTTTACCCCTTACTTTTTCATACCCTACCTATCACATCATACCTTTTTACTAATAATCTATCCATCAAATCATACTTTTACCCATCACATCAAAAGACATTTTTAGAAATTCAATACCAAAATACACTTCTCTTAATTTCCTCTTCAAAATCAAAACTCTCATGTTTTTTGGGATGGAGAGAGTATATCTTTTGGCCCAAGATAATGGTGGCCAATTTATTTAAATATATTTTTCATGTTATTCTTATTATAACTATTATTGTTGTTATTATTATTTTTACTATTATTATTATTATTAATATTATTATTACTATTCATTATTCTTAATATATTCATAATAGGTAAATAAAGTGAATAATATTCGACCATGTAAATAGTGTTCATGCATGTGCAACATAGGGAGTAAGATACTCCGGGTAATTAATATTTTTATTTAAAATATTGATGTTTTCCCAACAAAATTGTTCCCGTATTATTTATATTAAAAATGGAAAAAGAATAATGAGTGTAAAACACAAAAATAGTAACATGGAAATAAAGAAAAACAAAAAAAATTGAAATGATTTATAGACTATAGTTACAAACATAAAATAAGAAAAATAAGAATAATATCAATAGTAATGATGATGATCTGGTGCTAGTTTGATCTGATTTTAATAAAATAAATAATAAACAAAAATAATAAGTTGAATATAACAGGTCCTTAGTTCCTATGTTGTATGCATATAATTATTTTTCAAAAAACATTTGTATGAAAGAAACCAAAATGTTTTTTTTCATATCTATTCATTTCTGTTGTGCTTCACATCTTACGTTTTGAAAACTTATATATAGGACATTTAGCGAGTACAATTTCACAACAAAAAGGAGGGGACATTTTGGGATAGAAATCACTTTTGGACCATATGAAACATCTTAGTTGCCTAATGTCATCCCTTGATATTGAGCTCAAGAGAACATGCCATAAAACACCTCGTTTGACCAAAAAGTGATTCCTATAGCCCCACCAAAAAAAGACTCCCACCCCAACTGCCCCTCTCTTCATTTTCAATTCTTTTGCTAGTACAATATTTACTGAAGCAAATTGGCGAAGGGAATACTGACCAGTGAGGGACTATAAAATGAAGGGTGTAGGTCACACATTTTCTCTAGCTAGGGTCCATTTGCTACATAAACTTATTTCTGATCATTTATTATTCCGCATTATTATTTCCTCCAGGAAATGGAACATTCACTTGAGGCAACATTTACAACTGAATCTAAAACACACTATATATAGAGAGAGCTCATTGGCACATTTACATCGGATGTTTTTTTACGGAGTATATAAATATAAACATTTTCATGTAGAGCACAAGTTAGCAGCAACTTACACGTGTTGGTTCTCAACCTTCAATGGGGAATTCATCAAGAAATCGTCTAATCATAACACGTTCGCTTTGAGTAAGCTCGGGGTCATCACCACACAACCTTTCCCGAATTCCAGCACTTGAGCTGTCTCTCTTATTGTCTAAAACCTGACAATAAAGGTGGTAGGTCCGGTATAGAACATGTTAATGAAGGATGAACATTATGCAAGTAAACTTTTACCGCTCCATCCGGAAAGAAAAATGTGTTGCCAGAAACAGAATACCCTTCACCAAACTCGTACATTCTAATTGAGAGGTTATGATTGAATAGAGGTATACACATTGTTGGTAAGCTAAGGCTCTGTTCTTTCCGGTTGGTATTTTAAAGTTGGATGTTGGAAGAAACTGGAAGAGATTGGAAGAAACGGAAAGTTGGAAGAAACTGGAAGGAGATGGAAAATGTTGGAATAAAAAAATCACTCAATTAAATGATCACCCAAATAAATATGTAAGGAAACTAATTTTGGATATAAAAAAGATTTCATCTTTGTCCGTGTCTGAGGTGTTATGTTATAAATTTGATATACAATGTTATTGTATAGTCATCATATGTAAATACATTTTTTAAGTCATTGTTGGAATAAACTGGAAGGAGTTGTATAAAGTTGGAAGTTAAATTTTCCAACGGAAAAGAACAAAGCCTAAAAGGGAACGGATGAACTCACTTTGACGTAGTTATTGACATGGCCATCTTTGTTTGGAGAGGTGATAGGCTCAGCGCTATTGCACACCCATTCACCATCAACGATGTACTTGTACTCGTAAATTCCTTCCTATTTACCAAAAAAGAGTTTTTCAAAACAAACTCTGTAATGCATGCAACAATATTCGCCTTCTATAACACAACAAGCACTCTAAAATGGCCATCATCATTATCTACCCCTCAAAAGTCATTGATTATAAATTTATAATAGAAATTTACTTCATACATACTGGAAATTCCCTACGGAGAGTCCAAGAACCCTGTCCTTCATCAAATTCAAGAGGTACTCTCTGAAAACAAGTTGAAAAGAAGTGTTTTAAAGTAAAGCATTCTACCCTGGTGGCTTTTTTTTAATTTAGAAATTTAAGTTCGAACTGGCATTGAAACTTTGAGCATATTACCTGGCCCCATCCAATATCAAGTCCAGAGACTTCCACATTGGAACAATCATCCCCATACCATGTCAATGTTATTGGATTCTTTTTCAAACCTGTAAGCTTTAGCCAAAAAGACAAGTGTTTTCAAGAATTAATCAAACAGTAAATGGCAAGATTTTTGAGCACCTTGATATAGACGATACAACCTAAATTGCACTCTTAAGGCTTGTTTGAGGAAATTATAAAGGGGAGGATGGATTTTTATTTTGTTATTTCTATTTCTTAGTCAGGTTCATCTTGCTCTACTTTTCTGTTTGTCCCATAAAAATCTTTCTATTGCCTTTTTGGTCCATCTCGCAATAGGCAAATTTGGTAATAATAGTGGAGGGATAGAATGAAAGCAAAAGTGGGACTCACAATATCAGCAGTGGCGCTTTTTATGGCATCCAATTTCGGGACGCATGAACGCTTGCTCTGAGAAGAAAAGACAATGATGTTTAGATAGATAGACATAAAGCATCCAAGAAACAGAGGAGTTCACACATGAATGTGATTTCCAATTTATTCAAGATAATGACCCCCCCCCCCCCTTTCAAGATGCCATACAGCATTTTATTCAAAAACTAACTTAACTCTCCATAGTCAACAAAAATCTCACCCTTGAAATTTTGATATAATCATTCGTAAGACACATTTTTGGCCAAGCTATGAAATATTTCAAAAGACAATTGCGACAGGAAAGCAAACCACTAGTATAGACTTATACCATGAGTAAATTGTAAGCTTCATTGAGTCCATACCCCAGAACCCAGAACATGTATGCCACCTGCATTCCATACCATTAGATATAATATAAAAATAGTTTAGTCTAAACAAGTGCAGAAGAAATTAAAGCTTTTTGTAGAATGAATGTGTTTATTCTACCACCACCACCACCTTGAGGAAAGAGAAAAAAATACAGACCACACAATCATTTCCTTGAGAAGAAAGTGGAAGAAAACTTTGGGACAACCCAAAAAGGAGAGTGAGAAGATTGTGAGACGGAGGAAGTATTAATCAGACCCCTGCAATGTATCCTATTTTTTAGGAAACAGGTCTCTACTAAAACACTGTGAGACAGAAATCTATTTTTTCAAAACACATTGAACATAAATTTAATGCATTCACAATTCTATGTACTACTTATTGCTTTCTAGAACAAAAAAGGGAAAAACTAGTCCAACGTGACGGTGATTCTGTAGGATTAATTCCAAGGTCCCAGTGATTTCAAAATGGAAACTGTGACTCATAAAGGAGGTAATAATCCAGTGCCAACCTTTGAACTCCTGACAAACTTGAATATTATCCTTAAAATGCGCTATAGTATATACGGAGTATGTTGTGTTCACATTTTAAGTCATAGCCACTGTTGGGATAGTTTGTTGTCGATTCCCTATCCCGCCGAAAACCAGAATCCCTCTTTCATAGAATAGAAACCCTATATCCCTCCATCGCATTTCACCTCCACCGCAGCTTCTTGGTTTTGATTCTTCAGGAAGCACCCTACAAACTCCATCTTCATCATCCGGTATCTCATCTAATCTCTGTTTTTTAGTTCAAATTGGAGCATTGATTCAAAGATTTATGTGCAGGTTTTAAATTAATGTGTTGCGTTGTGCATTTTTGCCGGTGTTTTTTATTTGATTTGGGATTGATTCGGGTTGTAGCTTCATCAAATTTTCTTTGTAACGGTTTTATTGGTGAAGCTGATTGTCTCCATAGTATGTGTGTGGCATTTATTTGTTTAATTTATAAATTAAGCTTGAACTAACATCAAAAATATATTTGTAGAGTTTGAACAAATATTTTATTTTTCCCTCATTTTGATTCCTTCCATATTTGCCGTACATTTTCCTACTTTATTTCCTTAGCATTTCCTAAGACCCGAAGGAACCCTTAAGGTAATAATAGAAAAAAACCCAAAATAGTTAAGGATAATATTGCACTGCTGGGGTAAGAATGATACAGATACGTACCGCTACAGCAGGTGCTCTGCCAAGTCCGGCAGTGCAGTGTATGTAGGTTATGCCACCATTTCTATTGATGGCCTTGTGTAATTTGCTAACCACAGCAGGTAGCCTCATCCTCAAATCAAATGCATCAAAATCCCTGCTTATTCAAGTACCCATCAAGTTAATTTAGATTTGAGAAGCGCATTGGATTCATTGAAAATACAAATTATCAAGCCAATAGTGCAAGAGACTTGTCAGTTGTCAATCTTTATGCAATGTACACATAGTGGAAAACCTTGTCAATTTCTAGTACACGCACAGTAACACACACACAGGTAAAAATATTTCCTTTTGCACTGATGATCTGTATAAGAAGCCCAAAATCAAACAAATGGATATATTTGAGCTTCAAATTTTCAGTAAAGCACCAAACAGCCCTAAGAAGACATGTATGCATGTATATCAGATAATTGTATGTCAATATGTAGTCACCAATTTAATTTGTTGTTTCGATAGGCATAAGCAGAGTTTCACAGTTTGCCAGGTCTGTTCATAAGAACAAGGAAGTTCGTACCCGTGAAGTTTACACTTTTTTCTTCTTGTTCTTTATTAAATGTCTTCATGCATGAACACAGTGGGTTTCGATATATTGAGAGTTGCATTCTGTGAAATCTCTTCTGGTATTTATTCCTTTTCAATAAATGGAAGGCACTGAGAATAGCAAGATTAATAACTTCATTTGTCAAGCAGAACAATATTCTCACCAGTCTCCATCAAGAAAAATTTCAAATGATGGATTTTTTTGTGTTCATGCACGCTTGTGTGTGTGTGAGTGAGGGGGGGGGGGGAGGTAACCTTGAATTCTTTGTATGAGGTAAAATAAAGTTATAGACATAATATTCATATCAAATTCACAGATACAGAATGTCACTACATTTTAGTGCACATAATCACAAACCCACCATACTTTTAGTTTAGCACAGACCTTATTTCAGCACGCACATGCTCAATGTCACCACTTTTGATTGCACATTCACGAATGGCATTAATATCAACCCCGAAGTATCTAAAGAATATGAATTAAGGACTTGAATAAAATGCATAGGACTGAAAAGGAAAAGAGCATGGGGGAGGGGGGGGGTGTTTGGCAAGTGTTAGAAGATCACAACTGTTGTAATGTTTTGGATACTCAAGGTCAGGATTTTGCTGCAAGCAAAAGATAGTTTTCACTCCAATCTTGCGGAGCTTGTTCACGTCCTCAGCACTCTACCATTTGAGGGAACAGTACAATATCAGCTTTTCTAGAGATATGGTAAAGGTCAAACACTGGGAATCATAATCACCTGTAAGCATGATCCAACAATCAAATCTGGACGGATAAAGTCATAGTTCATTCCCAAGTGATGCTTATAAGTCAAAACTGTAAACAAAAGAATGGTGAATGATTCAAAACTACTCAACATATAGATATGATCAGCAGTTGATTAATATAAAAAGCATGTTCATTGGGATTTTACTTATCAAGATTTCATGCTAATATATGCAATATGGTAGAAATGACCAGCACATATACCCACGTCATTTTACTGCCACTTAATGAAGGTTTTTCTTTTTCTATTTCTTTTGTTTAATGAGAGTTATCTCCTCCCAACTAGTGGTCATATTAAGTCCACCAAGTATGCACCTGAATATTTGTTGACTCATATGGTAAAAGCCGTATGCAAATCACTTCTATTTTACTTAGTTGGCAATTGAATAAGACTGACTAACCAGCTCCCATTGCTTCTGTCATATTGTGACTATATGTATCAGATTTTCCCTCCATTTTGGTGCTTTCTTTTCCTATATCAGACTTAGAGCCATATACTGCCTGAAAAATGTCAAATGAGTGAATTCAAGCTCCCTAATTGTGAAAAGTCTATATATAGCAGGCTTTGCACTCAAACATGTTTGTAATGAGGTAGATTAGGGTGACTGAAGTGGCAAACTTTGAAAGTATTGAGTAAAAAAGTTTGACACTTTGCAATAAGAAATTGATAAACCTTTAATCTATTGAATCTACTTCTACCTGCACCACCATCCTCGGACTATGGTCAGTAGCTCTCAACAAACCCTGTATTGCAATTTATAAGACGAATTTAAAACCAAAACAATTGAACAGGAAAACAGAAGGAAACTTAAATCTTACATGAAATTGAAGTGGAATTGTGAGCATGGTTATCAATGCGACAAGTCGAGTCGAGTCAGTGGGGAAGAGACTAGTGGACTAGTAGTAGACTAGTCGACAAATTACAATTAGTAATAAATTGTTTAAAATTATATATTTCTTCGTTCACCAAAGATAACTATATACGGAGTATCTATTTATACGGTGAAATATCATTACCATAACAAAATTATGTTTAAAGGTAGTACATAAACTCGCATAACGAAGACTACATAAGAAACAATTATCCTTAACTCTTCAAGCCGAACAAAGCAACAACAAAGATAACAATTAACCAATACAAAAATAATGTATTAAAATATTTTTTTATATGACAATCTAATGATCAACGACCAAGATCTTGAATTCATCTAAGAAAACGTCAAATCTAAGATTATGATTCAACAACAATCTCATATTCTGAAAGTCAGACATGACCAAGGGCAAATTGGCATCACTGATGGGTGGAAGAGATTCTGAGAACAATCCAGATTCAAATTTCGACGAAGGATACAAATTGCGGTAGAGAACAAATGCCTGAACGACAACAGACACAGGTCTGCGGATTCAGGCTCGATCAACAAGCGCTCCTCCAGAATCGAACACCCTCGTGACAAAGGTAACAAGAATGAATGCTTCGTGGGATTCAACTAGGTTGTTGTTGTTGTTTGTTATAAGAATAAATGCTCAGGAAAGCTTTGCAGAGTTCTTCCATTTGGCATCCGCATTTTCCTTGGTCGAAAGCTTGAACAGACACAATGGCATAGGCTATTGCAGCAAGCCACCCACTCAAAAACAAAAGCACATCTTGAGTCTGAATGTTGATCGACAAGATGTTCATACTAATCTGTGTATTGTCTCTATTGTGGAACTTGATGATGAAGGCGAATACATATCCACATCAATCATTGGAGAATTGGCTCGGATTATGTTGTTGATGCTCCACACTTCATTGTTTATGTTTACATCGCTTGCTCTGTTTGAACCATCTAATTATTCTTTATCAACCAATGATGAGGTACAAATTATTGATAATTGCAAGACTGCTTCATCTTGCACTTTCATGAATCCTATAACAAAGGACATTTTGGCAAGGCATCTATTTCAACACTCCGGATGACTTGCAGAATGCATTTGAGATTCCATATTTACTCCTATGTTTGGTACATAAAAAATGGCTCCCAGTGTGAGTGTTCTCTAAGATGACTACCATCTTAAAGATATCGGGGAAATAAACTAGGATGGCAATAACTCACAAATAATAATTGTGTTCACCCCAGATTGCAATAATAATTTCAAATTGACGGAGGCATTTTCCTATTGTGATGGTATATTGCAAAACTGTTTTGATATGCACATACTGTGTTTCACAAATTCCTCTCCTGGCCTTTATCCCTTCCCCACACACTGAAAAAAATGCAGAACACATGGAACACGAGTGGAAAATCCAAGAGTTGTACAGAAGGAAGGGATCTTGACATCAATGCTTTCCCCAGAATCACACAACTGCAAAAACTAAAGAGATGGAAGCTTCACCTCTAATGCAGTGGTTGTTTGGGTTAAAAGGAGTGACCAACTGACCGATATAAAAGATGATGACAAATTGGAACGATCTTAAAAAAAGGAACAATCTTGGAAGGAGAAAAGAAGATTGCTACAGAGCACAATGACAGTAACAACAAAAAAATTAGTGGTGGAAGGGCAAGGGTGTGGCGGCTTTAAGTATGAAGCAGAAAGGAAGATATTAGCTACCAGAGAATTTGCTGTTGTTGGAGGATGCACAATTTCAAATTGGTGAAGTGAGTTTAAAGAAACTAAGAGCTCCACTGGGTGTTTTTTATTGGCTGGAGATCCAAATTTTGGGTCAAACTCAATGCAATCTAGCCAAAGGAAATAAAACCATGGTTGGTGGGTTAAGTTTTAAACAATGGGATCCTGGTGGCTTTTATTTTTTAGCACAAGAGGAATATATGGGAAAAATTATACTTTCTATTATTAATACATAATTTCTATTTTTTATGCTTGTCTTTAAGGTTGGCTCTTTCTTTTCTCTTTTTTCACTACAATCTTGAGGAAGGTTGTCTTTCAGGAGAAGAAAACATGATGAATATAATTGGGCTAAGTGGGCTAGCTAGGCCCAACTAGCTGTAGAATAGTGAGTGAGTATTGCTTTACTATATACTCCGTAGTATGGAACTATGGATGGTAGTCTGATGACCGATGAGCGCTTTTATGTTGGTATTGTTGGTGAAATATGTAGTATCTCTCTAAATTGAGAGCCTATATTGTACATCCGGATGTACCAATTGTTCATTTGAATCAATGTCGTGTTCATTCTGAAGCAACGTAGTGCTCATTCCAAGCCTACTCAGTGTAATGTGTTCATTTTGAAATAACATAGCGTTAATTCTGAAACAACGTAGTGTTCATTCTGAAACATTTTTTAATTACAAATTGGCCATTATGTACGGTACATCCGGTTGTACCATATAATTTGAATTTTGAACTCTTAATTGGATATCTCTTATTCTCTACTCTTCTCTAATGTCTTGAGATTATAACAAAACAAAACAATTAAACAGGGGTGAAGAAGAAAACTTAAATCATACAAAATTGAAGTGGATTTATGATTACCAGTGGGGTAGCTACAGAGGACGACGGCAACGAAGGCTTTCTGGAACATCCACGTAAGCTTTTCACTCGCGAGGGAGAGAATCTGATAGGAAATTCATCAGAAGATGATAAAAGGCAAGAGCGAATCAATTGTCAATCACCAAATAAAGAAGCAGAAAGTGATAGAGAGAAAACCTAGGAAGATGATAGTGAAGGCAATTCATCCCTGGAAACCTGAATCTGCAAAGCTTTTGCACTGCCGGCGGAGTACTGAAATCGAATAGAAAGGGGATCGCCTTTTCTGAGAATATAATTAAAATAATCGGAATGATTGGGAAGTATGATGCCAAACGAATGCCGTCAGTCTATCTCAGAAGGATTATGTATGTGTACCCCACCCCAATTTGTACCTCGCAGTTTTGCACCAACATTTTGTGTTGGTGTAAAACTAATTTTTGTTAAACACACTAACATTTGTGTCCGTGTGAATTTTTATTAACGCACCAACACTTTTGTCAGTGTAAACCATCGAAATGTTTGTGCAAACCTGTGGTGTACAAATAGGGTATATTTGTTGGTGTGAGTGTAGCATGGTCATCTCAGAATCACACTGGCTGACTCGATAGATGCTCACTAGTCATTCCCTCTTCTATTCTCTTCCTTCCCTTTTCAATGCCAAATCATTTTCTACGTCATTCTAATTATTCTTCTCTATATTTAATATTCCCTCCGTCCCAATTTATTTGCAACACTTTAAACGACGTGCAAAATATCATCTCTTTTAAAATTACTTTAATTTCAAATTGGTAGAGTAATAAAAAGTAAAAATTACACCATTCAAAAGTATATGAAAAGTTCTACAAAACAAGACGCGACAAGAATATTTTATTTTATCAAATGATCAACCAAAACAAGTAAACAAACAAAAGTTATCGAGAGGCCAGAATAGTAACCGTGACATTCTTTCTGAGACGGAGGGAGTACTATTTGAACCCATATCATGCAGAATTAATTCCCGCAGAGGGGAAAATTTGAGCATGCATTTCCTAAGAGAGAAAATTGGCTTTGCTTTACCAAAAGCCAATTTTTACAAACTTTTTTTTTGAAAATTGGCTTTCACAAAACCGTTTTTAGTTAAAAAAAATTTTAAATGGCTTTTATAAAGCCGATTTTATCAATCCAGAAAAAAAAAATTACATTTACAAAAAAGATTTCCGATTTTATAAACCTTTTTTTAATAAAAACTTATATTTTTTATGATTCAGTATATAATTTTAAAAAAAAATTGAATCAATGGAAAATTAATATAGAGATGTTCATCAAGAAAAAGTGAAATAAATCATTTAAATAAAGGAATTGGTCAAATCAGATTTTAAACAAAAAATTTTAAACGAATATTAGGCAATATTGAAAACATAAATATATTAAAACATCAACAAGAATTACATTCTCAACATCTGAAGTAAACAAGAATTACAACATCTTCCCTGATACAAACTAAAAAATAGTAAACTAAAATCATCTCCTTGCCCTGAAATCCATCTCGCCCTGGTATCGATTGCCTTGACGTCTCCCTGAACGTGGAATCTCATTTTTGGCCGTTTGGGAGGTAGAATTTTAAAGTTGCCAACATCCAAATTTTGAGGGAAAAGAACAAGTTGAATTATAACACTATAACAACTCAAATAGTTTTGAATCGAGTACGTAGCCGGTAATATGTTGTGAGGAACTTGTTGTCGAAAAGAGTGGTAAACAGCATGAACATGAACACAAGGTATACTATCGGAAGTCCACTGCCCACAAGTGCATACACTACTAAACAAATTGACCAAGTAGTTGTAAATAGAAGAAGGAGCTGTTCGAGATGTGTGAGTCACTACGTATTGGTTGTTACCGTAGCTTGAGACTGTCCACTTGTGCTTAGTTTTCTCCCGATTAAGGAGAATATTTTTAATTTTCAGAGTAATGTGCATGCTCTGTTCTTGCTTGAATACCAAGCTTGTACCTTTTAGCAAACAATTCAACCATCTTGGCATAGGACATGGATAAAATGGCAGTGACACGAGAGACTTTGTTGTCTATAAAATCCGGGTTATGCCACACTTTACGCGAACGATGTGTAGCTTGTAAAGTAAGAATGTCTCTCGATCTAGGACCCACTATTTCTCTCTCAAGGTCATACATTATGCTTCAAAAAAAATTCTAGTGAACTTCTATCTACTCATAGTACAATAAAATGGTTAAAAAAAATATATTGTTTAAAAAAATATGCATTACATATTGTAAAATTAAAAAAATATGCATTACACATTGTAAAATTTAAAGAAAATATGCATTACATATAGTAAAATTAAAAAAAATATGCATTACATATTGTAAAATAAAAAATATGTATTACATATTTAAAAAACTTATAAAGAATTATTCTAAGAAAACATACCTCAACTTCTTGGATGATTATGGAAGAATAGGTAAATTTTGAATATTTAGTGAGAAAAAAAGAGAAAGAATGTGAGATGTAGTTGAAGAGATTATGTATTTTTGTGTAAAAAGAAGGAAAAGATTTGATTATTTGTAGTACAATTAGGAGGGTAGTGATTGAAGGGATTAGGTGTAGGAATAGGGAGGGATTGGAGTGTGAAAGGGAGAAAAAGAGGGAGGGGAATCACTGCGCACGAACACTGTACCTAATCACTGTGCGGAACTGTGCGGCATTGTAGATCTACACTGTTGCTCCATTATTGCACTAAAATAGCTTTTGGAAAGCCGAAAAAAACGAAATTAAAAAAAAGAAAACAGCTTAATGAAAGCCGAAAACCAAAAAAAATAAAAAATAAAATCGGCTTGTCTAAAGCCGATTTTCCTTATCAGGAATTACCCTTTCCCACTTGAGAATTATATTCAAAATATTTTCCCTCTTAGGGAAACCACCCTATCATGCAAGCGGTGAAACAAATTTTGTTTGTTTTATCTTTTCTTCGATGTATCATTCTTCAAATATCAAACAAAATAAAACATCAATTGTAAAAGCTAAAAGAATGATTAGACATATGACATTTGCTTATGAAATCTACAATTTGCATATGAAATTTGAATGTTAAAGTTTTTTTTATTTTAAGTATTTTGGAAAATTTTGAAGACTACAATAGGTTTTTGTGATTTATAAACATTATGAAAGAAATTTAAAACTAATACTTTGAACCTTACTTTTACTCTTGAGAAATAATAATATACAATTAATCATTAGCAAATACTGATTTGGTAAAAAATAATCTTATAAATGATATTGTTTAGCCTTGACTTTATTTATAATCATGACGAAACATAAACTATTAAAAATTATAATTTTAAACCTTCAAGAGTAATTTTGTATGAAATGATACATAACTCATTTAATTATGGCTATGTAAACGTTTCTAAGACTTCGTTTCCTAATACAATATTTGTGTGCCGAACATAATATTTCACAACTTTTTAATGAATAACCTTGTACTATTGCATAGTTCAGATGGCTGATCATTTTTCATCAATAACATAATGCGTATAACTTTCTTCAAATTAAAATTATGTTATGGTTTAAGATTCACAAACATCTATTTACATTCATGAACTCAACTGTTATACAATTATCATTGATGGAAAAATATATTAATTATCGAAAAAAATTGATTCATCTTCTATCATTAATATGATTCTTTTCTCTCATATTAATTTTTTTAAAAATTAATTATTCTTTCCCAGATTAATTTAAAAAAACCCGAAAATTTGTGATCTTAGGATTATTCAATCTGCTTTGCATTAATTAAACAATTGGATTACCAAATACTAACTTCATGATTCAAAAAATATGATTTTACCATCAGACATCGCAACATTAATTTAGAATAGCAAAATAAATGATATATTGTTATTCATCTCTCATGCATTAATTTGATTCTGGCCCTCGCATTTATTAAACAATATGATTCTTTTCTCCCCACATGATTCAAAAATAAAAGCTTGGATTAGCACTACTATAAATAAAAAAATTAAAAAACATTATAAATCCAATGATTTTACTCCCCACATTAAGTCAAAAAAATTAATATAAAAACAATAGTGATTCAATGATTTTGAGTATAAATTTAAAAAAAAATTGATAGCTTATTTTTCAATTTTTTTTCTTTGAGTACAAAACCATTCAAGCCAGTGAAAATATTCTTTTCTTAATTTATTTTATTTAAATATTTTCCCACTTAAATATTTATTAGTTGAAAGCTTTTTTTGGAGGAAATGAAAGTTTTATTATAAATGAAGATAGTAAAAATTATTAAATTAAGAAAGAATTTATTATAAAAATGAATATATCTCTTCCAAAATTAAATGTATTCATAGATTAAGATTTCAATTCATACCAAAATATTGATTATACATTTTCTATGTATAAAAATAGGTAGCATATTAGATGTCAAAAAAAATAAAATTTCATAATTGGTGAAGAAGTATGTTATTTAATAGATGTCAATATTTAAGTAAATGTAAACAAACTAACTTCATTTAAATGTATCATAAATATATACAAAGTATAAAGTTTATTTATGAATGAAGAGATCGTTTTATTTATTATTTAAAAGAGTTTTCAATTTCAGTCTAGGCATATATTGGTTTTTGTATTTTATGAATTTTTGAATGTAGTTATTGAAATGTATTGTTTGGTTTTAATATTACATTATTATTAAAATAAATAGAATCAAAACTAATTTAATTTTATAATATTATAAACTAATACACATATAAAAGTTAATTAGATGTAAAAAATCATCTTATTTATTAATTAAATATTTTTTATAAATGAAGAGAGTAAAATATGCTGGATTGAATTGGAATGAATATTATCGTAAAAATAAATGTTTCTCTTCCACAATTAAATTTATTCAAAAAATTTCATACCAAAACATTGAATTCGCGTTTTATATATCTTAAACTATCCAACATATTAGGTGTCAAAAAAAATATATGGAGTAAAATGTATTTATTGGTGGAGAGAATATTTTTATTATTTAGTAGGTGTCAATATCTAAATAAATATAATCAAACTTTTTTTTGATAGCAATAAATATAATCAAACTAAGATCATGTAAATGTATCATAAACAAATATAGACTTTATTTACAGATGAGGAGTGTATTTTATTTTTTATTTAAAAAAATTCGTAAATTTTATGATTTAGAGAATCTGAGACAGGTATTAAAAAACGTTTTACGTATAGTTGTGAAAAAATTAATATTTTATTAAAAATAATAAGTTATAGGGAAATCAATTTTAATTCTAAATTTTGGATTCATGAGTTCAAAATAAGTATTTATTGTTTTTGTAAAAAGAGTTAAAAAGGTGAAATAATTAAAGTGATTAGATTTGGTTAAATTGCTACCTAATTTGCCACATGTGAAATTCTTAATATACCACATGTCAACTTCTTAATATGACACATGTCAAGTTCTTAAAGATTGGAGTCTCAAATTTATATATAAAGGATAAAGGATTACTCCATATATGCGAGTTCTCATAGATTTTTCTTAACAAATACTATATCTGCTCTGAATTATTTGTCCATTTTTTATTTTTTTTCAGTCAATCATTTTTAACATTTGACCTATAATAAAATAAAGAGTAATTTCCATAGTGGTCCTTTATAACATTATGATTTCTATATTTAGTCATCTATTATCAAATATTACTCGCGTAGTCCTTTTATGAGTGTCTTTCCATAAATGGCCCCTTTTTAATATTCTGTCATGTTAGTGTTAATTTAGAGACTAAAAGTAAAATTTGACATCAATCTTATGTCCAGTGACATATTATGATATTGATTAAATGAATAACACAAAAATAATGACTATGATTGTGAGTTAGGACTCCGATGAAAGACCACATCTGTAGACTATGGTTGTAGTAGAAAGCAAATGTAATTCACAAACGATGCATCAAGAGCGGCCTTTGGAATTATGTATGACAAAAAAGATATATTATCATTGTGAAATTATACTTTAAGCCTTGAAATTAACACTAGCATGATACAAGATAAAAAGAATTATTTGTGGAAAGATAATCATAAAAGAAAGGCCACCGGAGTAATATTTGATAATAGGGGACTAAGTAAGTAAACTCCCCTATTATCAAGGACTAATTATGAAATTTTCTCAATTTTATTTTTCTTAATACTAATTTTTAAGTAAAACGATTAAAGAATACATCACTTTGCCTCGTGACTCAAAAGATGTAATCAATCAAAGTACAAAAACATCCATAGAATTTAAAAAATTAAAGTAATATGCCTCCATCTCGGAATAAAGTGGCCAAAGAACTTGGGGTCGAATAACATAAATTTGATTCCTAAGGCCATGGGGTGTGCCTAATGGCTTCCCCTTCTCCCATTCTTCTAACTCAGCGACACATCAAATTTCTCTTTCCCTTCCAAGAAATGTCTTCCGCTTTTCCCCTTCACTTTTACATTTATTTTATAACACTTATTTTAATTTATATAATTAAACTAAAAATACAAAAATAATAAAAATTTACTCAAAACATTTAAAATACATTTAAATTAAAAGTAATAATAAAATTGATATGTTAAAGTAATTGAGACACAATAAAAATATTGGCGTACAATTCATGTTTGAAATAAAAACCTTAGCATAATTCATATCTAAAAAATAACTTCGAAAACTATGAGTTGAGTATTGTGTTTAAATAATAAATAGTGAGAATTTTGAAATTTTTTGAATCTTTTTATAAACCTAACGACTAACTTTCAAAAAAAACAGTGGACCGTTGCCAACGGTAAAAACGGGGAGGGAACCCCGCCTTTCCCGTTCCCGCTCAGGCGGTGTTCCCATCCCAATCCCGCCCTTCCCCTTCTTTCCCCGCTTAGCACACCGGATGGCCTAAATCCTAAAAGAGAGACCACAAATTCAAATCTCAAAGAAGTCATCGATTCCACAAAGCCAATAGTACTAAAAATGGGAATAAAGTTGTTATTACGAAATAGAGTAATTGAGTGATCGAAGCAAACAGAAAACGTAAAGACACACAGATTTAACATGGTTCACCAACGTTGTGTTGGCTAAATCCACAGGCAAGAACGAAGGCACATTGTATTATGACAACCGTTCTAGAGTACATAGTTTTTGTGCCCTACATCTATATAAATAGGCACACAAAACAAGCTAGGCATAATACAATAATTAGAACCCAATACAATAACATAGCACACCAATTCAAACAATACATATTCAAGGCATATTAAGAAAAGCAAAATACAAAAATTTCTTTGAAATTACAAGTAACTTAGTCCTCTATTACTATATAGAACGCCAAATTTATAGAGGTACTTTTGGTAATCAACCCCCCCCCACCCCCCCCCCCCCAATAATAGGTGAACAATTAATTCCAAACATTCAAAGAATGACAGGTAAAAAAACTACTCCGTCCGTTTAAAAATTATCTTTCCATTGCGCGTTACGATATTTGACTGCAGTTATTCTCAAATCAATTTATATGAAAAATGGTGTAAAATTAAAAAAAAATTACATATTAATAGACTACATCAAAAGATCTACAAAACTAGATGTGATATGACTATATTAAATTATCAATGAGTAACGAAAATAGTCCAACAAAGTAAATAAAATTTGACCCTGTAAATAGTGAACGGGATGTGATATGACTATATTAAATTATCAATGAGTAACGAAAATAGTCCAACAAAGTAAATAAAATTTGACCCTGTAAATAGTGAACGGAAAGATAATTTATGGACAGATAGAATATATCTGATCAAAAAGAGTAAATTTTAAAAGAAATTAATTTAAATAACCCAACACGAAGGAGCGATATGTAGTTCAAATACCACATGTATTGTCAAATATGTATGTTTTGCAAAACTATAAAGTAGTTCATTCACAAATGTTACGCCCTGGGCAACAGAGTCGGGGGCGTTATTACTCAGAACATATATAGAGAAATAATGAACATATAGGTTCCCATAAAAGGAAACTGTGTGGAATTGGGAAAAGAAAGAGAGTTCAAGGATAGAGAGGGTAACAGCACACGCCAAACATAGTAGCTTCAAGGATCAACACACGTAATACCCATTGACACCCAGGAAAGCCAAATGAAATTAAACCATAAAGCAGGATGAAAAAGGCCACCACAACCCCACAAATTTTGAACTGCTTCCAGCAGCCAGCCAGTTATTGAGGTGAAAAGCTAGGTAGAACTGGCCTAAGTTCAAGTAAGATCATCTTCCTCAAGTTCTTTAGCTTTGATGGATTCCTTCACCCTAAGAAGCAGTGTGGTCCTCAACGCATCCTGCCAATCACCAGTTATGAAAAGAAAGTAGACACAAATCATGTTAGAGTATAAAAACCTTTCTTGGGCCACAGCCCACAAGCTTGAGCATGTGGTTGAAACTTGAAAGCCAGGATCACCAAGAAGTCACGAGTTCAGTTTTTAAAAAATTAAGGTTTCACGTGCAAGGCTCAAAGTAGCCACGCCTACATGTGGGGGGCCGTATTAGAGTAAAAAACTTTTCCTGGGCCACAACCACAAGCTCAAGTTCGTTCCTGGACAAATCCCAATTAATAATTGTCCAAGAAAATCATGAGTTGTAGTAAACCGTCTCTAGATAGCATGCAGTGTAACATATTGCTATCCTATGATTAACACATCGTTCTACAAGGCATAGTTATTTTGTTCCGAACTGAGTAATCATAATCTACAAATCATGAAACAAAATGGTGGAAATGGTAGATTCAAATCTACCAGCTGGTAACAATCTGGAATATAACTATGCTGCAGCTAAAGATTCGTTTGCCAATTTCCGTCTACAGAATTTACTGGAATTTTAAACTTTGACTGGACAAAATCACATCCAACAATAGAGTAAGGTTGACACAGTATAATCAAATTTACCAGTTTGGTCATGCTATCATATTCCTTGACAGCATCAGTGAACTTCGCAACATCTTCCTCGTCCAATGCCGCAGCCAAATCCTGCCATCATGAAAGCAAAAAACAGTATCAGTTTTGCGAATGACTGCAAAAACAAATTGCAGAAACAAGTTTGAGGGTAGTTGAAAGCCAACCACGTCAACCTGATACACGACTATGAAAGTAAAGCTCATTTGAATGGCATGATTACAAAATTTAGCAAATGCTAGAACGAGTGGTTCAAGATGGCTCGTTGGGAAGCAAGTGTAAGGAATAACACTAAGAAATTGGGGTTGTACTCCAAACTTTGAAGAGTCCTGAGCAAAGTGGATCCTATTTTAATGTCAGTGATATCTATATTAATTGAATTACTTTTTACAGAATCCTTCACCCAGGGTCAGGGAGAACAATAATGTGATCTATGAATGCATACAGATTTCTTTATCGAATAAAAAAGGGGGGATTCAGGGAGTTACTAAAGTCAATGGACAGGAGTAATTCTCTAGAATCAAGTGGGACTTGCTAGAGAAGCTTGGAAGGTTCCGTAATAATATGGAGTAGTGTAGAGATATTTATCATTAGAAAATATTTCATGTAGCCTTTAATATCTTTGAAATCTGTGTAAAGCATTCTAGATACTCATTTATAATTGTTAGATCAAGTAGATCTTAGCCGTCCATTGAGGAGGTGGAGAAATATGAATACCCTTCCCCTCATTCATTTCAGTCACTCAAGAGGTGAGAAGCATTGTAAGGTTTTGGAGAGAAAATAATATAAAGTCCTTTCTTAGAGTCCGAGTTCCTTTGTTCATTCTTAGCATTTCAATATTTTGCTAAGTTTGAGAGTAGGCTGACTAGCAACTTAGAAAAGAAGTTTGCTAGGCCGCACGGTTCGTTGAAATTCCGACCAAGTCCGTGACAATTTTGTTGCTAAAATGAGATGACACAACATGGATGGTGTGCTTAATCGTCTCAGTCTAATACTTTGATCATTAATATATGTGGTTATGTTTAATCAAATTATTTAAATACAATATATTAAAGTTAATTATAATTATAATTCAATGTACTCTATTTTTTATCCTAATCACAGTCAACATTTATAAACCTTGACCATAAAAGTCAATGTGTGACATTATATTTGGGAGAAATGGAGTAGTTTCTTTTGCCAAAAAAGTTTTGATGAGAAAATTTCCCACAACTCTATTTTTCTCTATCCATCCTAAAATTTACTCCCTAATGTAACTTGGCACACTAATAAAGAAAATGGAATTGTGAGTTGCATTTTATTCTTTACTACCTAATTCTTTATTATTAGTAATTAGTCCTTTCTTGTAGTAACAGTTTCCCATTAGGAGTAATACTCTATTTTATTAAGTACTCCAAACAGCAATATTGTTGCATTTTAATTAGGACTCTTATCTCTATTAGCTTCCTCATCAAGACTCCAAGACTCTTCTGAGTAGTATAAAGAGAAGGAATCTATTAATTAATAAAATCATCAATAATTTTGGAGTCAATTGGCACATGTCTTGGGAAAGGTCAAGCACGAACTCTACTCTGCAAAGAGCTAGCAATTCTTTATCTTTACAACTTTCACTCATGATCTTTGTTCCTCACCGTGCCCTTAACAATCTGGTATCAAATCCATTTTCTGTCTATACCTTTTCATCTTCGTTCTTGTCCTTTACATTTTATTTTCTTCCAGAAAGTATCACAAAAAAAAGTTTTAAAAGTCAGAATTAAGGGGACAAAATGAGTTTTTGGGTTCAACATGTTTTGGTTTGTCAATTATGTCGTTCCTTTGATGAGTATGATTTATACTTCATATTTTGAAAGATATTGGTGCAACATCTAGAAATATTGAAGACAAACTGGAATGAACTCCAAGCGTTATTTCATTTTGATTCCCTTCTAGGCACAAAGACTGCTCTACTGGAATTTCAAAGATAATCCTAATTGCGAATGGCGTTGCAACATGGTCAGTTACAATTCACCACAGCCACAAATGCTATCTCCAACCCGCATAAAACAATTCCCATGCTATCAGATCCGCCGTCAAAAAACCAACCAACACCTCCACCCATGTTCCATGGTTGGCCACAACAACACCAACTCCAACATTACTACAACCACCGCCAATGATCATGCCATTGACACCCTCAAATCTGCTACCCCTACCACTTTCATTGCCCTCACCCCAACTGAGGAAGATATGTCTATGCTTGCAACCCAAGCACTACATCCTAGGCGGATCTCTTACTCAGGGGAAATATGATCTTATACACTAAGCATTCCAAAGAATGCAAAGATGATATTGCAGAAAAATAACTAACTTTGGTTCACGTACCACTAGTAGCTTGTACTCTCGCGTCCCTGAGAACGTTGGATCCAGCTCCTGTAGATGCAAATTCAACATTGGCCTAATGTATTACATCTTGACAAGGCTCCCAAAACAATAAGTCATTAACAAGAGAAACATTATTACCTGGTATTTCTCTAAAGCATTGTTAATTGCAACAATATCACCTAAACATAGCTGGCAAATACCAGCATTAAGAAGATGCCCTCTAACTCCATATTTCAACAAGTTGTTATTAACAGAATGGCGTGCTATCCCCTCATATATTTCAATAGCCCTTGGATATCTAAGAAAACAGTGAAGTTTTAGTCTAGATTAGTTCATAGCGACTTTTAACAAGCACGCGAGATTATGAAAAAGACATCATATTTCTTTTCCCTCAAACAGATATGCTCTATATGGAGGTTGGCAGGCTTACTCTTCCATCTGAGCAGAAAATTCAGCAATTTTAGTTTTGCATTGATTTGCAGTTGTTGTAACGCCTTCCATTTCAAAATAATCAACTGCTAATGCATATTGCTCGTTGGCCATCTTAAGGTCTTGTTTTTGCTCATATATTTCAGCAATTTCCTGCACATACAAATACATTATTACATAAATTTATCTCTGAAGAGTAGTTTACTATGGCGCTGCTCATGTATTTCGGTAATTTCTTGCACACACAAATACAATCCACTATAATCCCAATTTCGATGGGATCTAGGATCAAGATATATGCAGTCTTACCCCTATAGAAACAGAGACACTGTTTCCGTGAGACCCTAACACATTGGTGCATTTATTGTCTGAAATATCATTGAAAGTAAGCAAGGAAGGTTTAATGTGCCATTTTGTTTAAGACCATTATGACCCCAAAATTAAAACATTGTCAAAAATGACTCTTTTAGCTCCATTGACAATGGACATTCCATATACAAATACATTATACAAAAATGTATCTCCTAAAAATGATTTACTAGGTAGAGGGGTAGACACAAGAAGTTCTCTATCAGATAGTATTCCATGCAATGGACTAATAGCTAGTACTCATGCGTTGTGCTAGATAGATAAAGAAATAGGTAATTAATAGCATTTCTGAGAATAAAGACAAATCATTTCTGATTCATGTAGAGCTGGCATATATGTATGTATGTGTGTGTGTGTGTGTGTGTGTATACACATGTGTGTGTGTTTATATATATATATACACACACACACAAACACACAAACACACACTGCTATATACCTTACAATATCTTGCACACATGCTCAACCTCCCAATTTCCTTAAATAGCTCTACTGCTGCTTTTAGATAATGTACAGCCACTGCAACATTTTTATTGTTGAGAAATACGGAGTAAGAACAATTTACTTTTAACTTAAAGAGGAAACATAAAAGAACCAAAAGAAGGATGAACAGCATCCAAAGATGTAGAAAAACTTTGTGAAAAAATATTGAAACATATTAGTCACTGCAAACATCTGTTCGAAAAAATGACAAACCATCAAATATCTCTATTAATTCCAGTTTGCCGATCATCTGAATAGAATCTGGAGCCACTAGATAATAAGTAGAGAAAGTTCATATATAGCCAGGGAAAATGTAAAAGTAATACATTTGGAATGGCTTATTATTCCCGTGAACAGGGAATTCCCTGGAATTGGGGCAGGAAACAAAATGTTCTTGTGAGATTACTGGGAATCCCTAATTCCTCAAATTTCATGAATCACAAGCTCTAATATAGCATGGTTTTTGCACAATTTTGGGAAGTTGGATGAGTTCCCATCAATCCAAACACGACAGTATTATCTACTGTCTAGTACTTTGTTCACAATAACTCAATTCCAAATTCCTAATAACTATATTCCAATTTCTAAATCATTCCAAATGAGATTAATATGAGACAATGCCTGAGAATCTAGCAATTGAATGTAAAAGGCTTGAATACTCAAGGAAATCTCTTGGAGGCATGTTACAAGTTGCAACCAGCATAATTCCAAAACATTCATCCTCTTCCATCCAAAAAAATGACATGCATATAATACAATTAGACAACAGGCTCTTTTATGGGATAGTAGTATGGTAATAAGGTGTGTCTTTAAGAATATTGATGAACATATAAATGTAAGAAAGGAAAAATGTGTGTAGATATATTCAAATTATATCTATGGACTTGCCTACAGTATCTATTTTCTTGTAGTTGTGACCAGCCTCAGTATATGCATTAGCAGCCTCATGCTTACTGTCCAGCTGCAAATTCGATATCAGGCAAGAACTGAAGTAAGCTTACAAGAATATGACGGAGAGCACATACAAAACATACCAGGTTCATATTCCAATGGACCAAACAAATACCTTCAAATGACATTCAGCAATTTTGGCATATGCATCCCCGGCTTTAGCCCCTAATACAATAATCACTGAGTAAGAAACCTGTTTCCATACCATGGAACAGAATAAAGGTAAAACATATACGCATTAAATATTTGGCTCAGTGGATTTAATGAGTTTGGGGTGTTGGCCTCTGTTTACAATAAGGAAAAGTAACGGTTTCCTGCTGCAAAAGTGAACAAGGTGCATAATAAAGAATCACGCACCTTTTATCCAAATAGTACTATCATAATATCAATTATTTATGTGCATAAATAATAATAATAATAATAATAATAATAATAATATAAATAGCAACATGGAGGCACATTCAACTTGTTATAAATGCTTAGGAATGGTAGATGATATATACTAATTTATACTATCAGAACTGGTTTAATCTTGACAAGAGAACAAACTTCTAACGTGAGTAGCAGATCAGCAGCATGCCCAACATGCTGAAAACAAGAAAACAAATTACCCTCCTCTAAGCTACCTATTATCTGGTCTCCACAAATGAACAGTACCCACCTATCAGACCAGTAAAGGTTACATTAAACAAGGACCTATCTATCATGTGCCATAATTTCCAAATGCATCGAGAATAACACAAGCTTTATATCCTTCAATTAAAATCCAGGTGAAGCAAGATAGACAACAATCAACAGGTATCCAACATTAGAATAGAATCAGTTTGATTGAGAACAATATATCCTTTTACGGTTCTTTAGTAAATCAAATGAATCATTGAACACAAACAAAATAAAAAATCCTAATCAAATAGTGAACCATAAAACTTAATTGAACTACAAATATGTCAAATAATGGAAGAGATTTATGCGTAAAAAAGGTACATGACTTAGCGAGCTTGAAGGAATTGGCGGCTTTATCGAATAAATCAGCTGCATCCTCGTATTTGTTGCTTAAAAGAGACCAACCACTGAGCCTCTTCTCGGCTTTTTGAAAAAATTCTTCTCCTTTAACCTTCTGATCATTCATGGCACTCTGAGCAGATAGAACCCCAGTCCTATGATTTCAGCACGGAGAGTGAAGCATACGTATGAAATTAAAGAAAGTCAATTGCCAAAAAAATTGCAAGATATGACTTCAATGGCAGTTTGTGTTTGTGAAATCAAAAGACTGCAGTGTTACGCAACGAATTAAAATCCAGAAAACATAGCTATTTGAAGCTATAATTTTAACGATGAGACAGCTAAACAGTCAAACCATAAACAGCAAAATTTTAAATTATCAAAGCTTTAAGAATGCCATAGTTCGCATAAAAATGGTTTCTGCTAATAGACACATCGAATAACTTGAGCATTAAGAAGGAATCGGGAAAAAAGATAAAGCATTCAACGCATTCAATTATTCAAAAAGAGGAAAATAAATTCAAGAAATCGCACCAGGATAATCTCTGAATCGGATATGGAGAATCCGGAATATGCGTCGCCGTCGACGATTCCTAGCGGCCTCACCTCTTCCGTTAGCCTCACCTCTTCCTGCGTCGCCGTCGACGATTCAAGTTGGCACTACTTGGCCTCTCTTCTTTTGGTTATAAAAAGTAAACTCCCACAATGATGAATAATTATATAATTATGTATTTTTTCTAAATTAGTTCCAAAATTAACTAATTTGAGATAGTACTCGTTAATTGAGAATAATAGTCGGTTCAATCTTTCAGACTAATAGCTGTTAAGACGAAGTTAAACTTTACAAGTATCGCACTCGTACGTTGCACGATTCGTATATACATTATAAATTTGAATTGGCGTTATTATAAAAAGAAATAAATACACAATATAACAACATTTAATGTTTTTCAATTATGTTTAACATAACTATCATATAAATTACAAATTCTGAAAAATATCTTTATAAACTACATTAGTGGTACATCGTGTGGAAAAATGTTCTGCATCGTGAATAAGAATCTTCAAGCTATTACAAATTATCACTCTTGAAACCGCAACATATAATTGTTCATGACTAGATACCGGTTTTTGTAACAATAATCCGACATGTTTTAGTGATTGGCATTTACTCTTATTAATTGTCATTGCATAAGAAGTAACTACCGGGAATTGTCTTCTATGAAACTTGAATGGTATTCTTGCATCTGATGGTGTCAGTGATAATCTTGGAATAACAACTTTTTGACCCATGTGTGTTTCAGACAATATCTTCCCTTGTATTGAATGATTAGCCAATCGAGTTACTATGAATCGTGTACCATTACACAAACTCATCAAATGATCAATGTTTCTTAGCAACATGATCGGAGTGCCTACCTTCAGAATGAGCTCATGAATCATGATTAGGTACTCCGAAAACACGAATCTTATTTAAGAACTCGGGAGTATGTAAGTCAGTAAAAAAGATGGAATTAGAGTCTAAGTTCACAATCCTGTTGGAACTAAGATACGTGCGTGATTCCTCATTTGGATTCATCGATGTCATATATTCATTTGTGGAATCAATGACATCCAAGGCTGGAGCCAAAACTGCACGATCCTAAAATAGCTAAGATCATCAACTATCTTATGAAAATCTGGATAAGTAAAATTCAATATAGTCTCTATTGGATCCCTTGAAGATGGAAGCAACATATCATCAGGTATTGTTACTTCTGCATAACCATCGTGTTCATCTCGTGCAACTCCGTCTCCAATACTTGCAATCTAGTTAGCAAAATCAACTAAACAGTCATAACTACTATCCTGAATCATTGATTGCAACTGCATGTTCTTTTTTCTTTCTAAATGTAAAATGAATTAATCATCGAACTAACAATGTCTTGTTCCTTTTGGAATTACAGGCAATATTTGCAAGAAATTTCCACCAAAGACTATTGTTTTTCCTCTGAACATTTGGTTTTCACTGGATGGATTGGAAAATCGTAGAATATCATGCAATCATAATTACCATTTTGAGACTTTGCACATCTTTATCATGTTCCTTACACATTTGATCAAAATCATCATCCGCTTCAAGGGTTTCGTACTTGGAGAGAATTGACTTATCCAAAATAAGATCATACACCCCATAGAGATTATTCCCGACATAAGTTGATTGATTCTCAACATCTCTTCTAGCAAAAACATTGAAAAGAACTCTCATATCAATTATTTTCGTAACCTCATCGGGAATCTTGCTTGGATCGTCATGTTGCTATAACATTCATGGAGATATATTAATATATTAGATCAACCAAACATTTTATTTCAATACCTAGTTTAAAAGATTTTATTTGAATTTTCATACATCACACACCAAGATTCTCATCGCCCTTGCCTGCATTCCAAATAGCTTGACCCATTCTTTATCCCAAAGTATAAAAGATGCACTATACATCACACTACCTTGTACCTATTATAAAGAACATACATTTTTATTCATTCAAATCTTAAAATGTGGATAAGTTTTTTCAAAAAAAAGATATATACATATATATCATTTAACCTATACACTCCATCGGGGTAATCCTTCTTGCATTTGAAACCATGTTCCCCCCAACTTATTTTTTTTACTTATTACTGATTCTTATTGAAAGAAGACCAGATCATATCAGATCAGATCAAAAATATCTTTAAATATAACTACAATCAGATCAGATCAGAATTTATCCAATAATATCCCTTCTGCAAATAATAATAAATATTTTATTAAAGCATATTACAAAAAAGATTAATTTTTTAGTTTGACTAAATGAATATTCGATTGACCTATTTGATCTACATATTTATTTTTTGAAAAGAAAAAAATTGGTCCGTAATTTTTTATCACGTCAGAGAAAAATGGTAATAACAATTTTAGAATATCACTTCCAATTGCGTAAAATTCTTATCATAAACATAAGTTTATATGAATGATTTTTTATTATTTGTTTCCTTTTGGCAATATAGTTTGTATATTGCACTATTAGATTATAAACAAAATACTTCTCTGAAAAATTGACATCAAACAAAAAAAATTACAAAATGGTACTTTCTAACTGGGTATTTTCTTAAATTAGTCCATTTTGAGAAAGTAGTATAGGGTTTAACGTCGTTTTAACGGTCGTTAGTCAGGGGAATTGAACTGAGCATTATTCTCAATTAACGAGTATCATTTCGGAAATTAGTTAATTTTGGAAACTAATTTGAGAAAACACATAGTTATTGAGTACCATTTTGAAAATTTAATATAAAAAAGATTTCAATGTGGGAAGAAAAAAGCGGAACAAACTGGAACAAGTTGAAAAAGGAAGGAGTGGGAAGAAACTAGAAGAAGTTAAGAAAAATTGAAAGAATCGTAACGAATCTACGCAGGCCTTATCTTCACTCCCTCCATCCTAAAATCATCTTCCCACTTCCCTTTTTTCCGTCCAAAAATCATCTTCCCACACACCTTAAATGCACATGTAATGACTATAATACCCCTAAAATATTTATTACTCCATCCACCCCATTTACACAGGCCTTATCTTCACTGCCTACTCCTCATTCTCTCATTCTGACCTTATCTCTTCTTCTCCTCCATATTTACACTTCTCCGCCTCCTCTAAAACCTAGATCTATCTCTGGCTTCTCTTGCGTCTCTCATCCTTTCCCTCTCTCCGTGTGTCTATGAATTACACTTCTCCCTGTCTCATATGGATTCTGTGGAATTTGATTTTGAATTTCAGATTCCTGAAACTCAGATCCCTGAAAGTGAGTTTCAATCTCAAGGCATGAACACTGAAGATCCGAGGTTTGAGGGCAGAGAGAATCAAAATTTGGAAGCTTCAGGCATAGAGGAGGGCGAGAGTGAGTCAGATGATGCTGGATCTGACTCCAATCCTCTTCCAAATGTTGGCTGGGAGTGAATTGAATGAATACCAGTTCATTGAGGACGAGCAGGACAGAAACCCACTATTTGATGCTGAGATGGGCAGCCACTCCAATGCCACTGGCACAGGGGTTGGCGAGGTCCACCGTATTCCAGGCTTGCTGTCCTACTGAGACTACAAAGTGAAGTTTCTCTTTAATTTTGCTTTACTGTATGCATTATTAGAAGCACTCTGTATCTGCACAAGTTACACATTCTCCGTATTTATACTCTACATACACAGCTATGATGATTATGGAAATTGCATTTAATGTTCAAGTTGTTTGTTGGGGTACATAGAGTGAGTGGTAGTGAAAGAAAACTAATTGGAGTACATATTGATAGTTGCCTTGATGTAAAAACAAAAAGGTCAAGGTCTTACTTTCCTACTCTTCACTACTTACAACCTACAATTACCAAATTCAAAAAGCAAAAGTTAAATGTACTCAATCATTTACAAAATACGAAGAGTTTTAGTGTTATGATAAACACTTAGTTCATTTCTGAAGATGAGAAATTCCCTTCATCTTCAGTTATGAACTCATGTACCACTTGCTCTTCACTTTGTCCACTGCCCTGACCAAGCACCCTTACAGTCTCTAGCAATGTGTAGGGTACATCCAGACACACTGGTAGTGCTTCTTGTCTAGCCAACCTGTCCTTTGCCATATGTGGTAGCTTGTATTTGTTCCCTCCTTCATCATTCATGACTTCCTGCATCACATTTTGGTAGCTTAACCATACCTTGTTTAAAGTCTCTGCTGTTAGGGAATCATATGCACCCCTAACTGCTTCTAGTAGTTGTGACACATTCTTAGGAGCACAGTGCTCTTTCAGTGATTGAATGGCTCTAAAAAAAACCCAAAATCTAGAATGTTGAGGTCTGGAGAGTTGGGGGGTTGGTTACTTATGGTTATGTTAAATCCATTTGCAGTAGATGCTTCCATAAATTCTAGATTTGTGGCAGAAATGTGAGGTCTATCATTATCTTGCTGGAGCACAATGTTTTTGCCTAAAATGGAAGGCCATTTCTCTTGAATTGCAGGGATGACTTGGGTGACCAACATTTGTTTAGTCACTTCTTTGGTGACACTATGAAGGTTCTTCACCTCTAATGGGGTGTTTGTTTTTTGGCCAGAAGAGCTTCTGCTCTCTTTTGTCTGCGCCGCGCAGACGCGCGCAGATGCTGAGCTCTGCAGATTGTTTGTTTTTTGGAAGATATTTCACTCAAAAAGGTCTTCTTGACATCTTCTTGGAGNGCCACCATCCACCGGCACCACCACCACCGTCCACCACCATCAACGTCCACCACCACCCTTCACCACCACCCTCCACCACCACCACAATCGTCCATACACACCACCGTACACTACCACCATTAATTTATATAGCAGTCTACAGACATTAAAAAACAAACAGTCTTCTTCTTGCAGACCGCAGACCTTCGGTCCACCACTTCTCCTGCAGATGTCTACAGTAGTGGTCCGCAGACTGCAGACCTTTTCCTGCAGAAAAAACAAACACCCCCTAAAACACCTGCCTCTCTGTTCTTACTCTTTCTTTTAGCTGCCACAGTTTCAACAAATGGAAATATTCCAATTTTTCCATCCCACAAAACCTCCCCATTTTCTGATATGAAGGGTCTACCAATCACACATAAAAACATGACCTTAGTAATGAAACGTTTTGACTTGCATGTTCTGTAAGGATCAATTTCATTCTGAGTCAAGAAATATTTCTGTGATGTCTTGGACATAAAGAACCATTTCTCATCCATGTGAAGAACATTATGGAAAGTTCTAAACCTGGGGTTACATGGGATGCTAATGGGTTCTATCTGATTCAAACAGAATTGTAATCTTTGCAACTTG